CTGCTAATTAGAATTGCAACAGTTCATGGATGAAACAGCTAAAGCACATATCAAAACAAGAAAGGAAAAAAATAAAATAAATACTCATATTCAACCATAGAACAACATATCAGAAAATATGATTTAAGAAAGTACAAAATCCAAACATTCCACAAAAACACACAGACCTCTGGCAGTTGCTGGGTTTGGATGAGACTTCACCTTAACCTCAGTGAAGGGAAAAGCTATGAGAATAAAATGGCTGTGAGCCAGTTTAACTGCACATTAACAGGCAGACAATTATGATAACATCAGCCATTGGTGCTGTTGTAAAGTGGGATAACTGCCAACAGAGCGTGTTTTGTTCCATTTTCTCCTTTTGTAATTCTTGAAAAAAAAAAATTTCTAAAATATCTGTCTTTTCTGAAATGAAATGTTGTTTACAGTCTTTTTCCATTTTGTTGTAGTGCTTTGTTATATTTAGTTGCAGTATTGATTTCACGTCCAGGTGGCACCAACAAGAGCGAGAGATTAAAATCCTGAGCTATTTCATCAGTTGTGAACTGCACTGTTGTACTTGACTAGTCTCCTGTCAGACATTGGCCACGTGGACTTCCTGGAAGCAGTGCACAAGCTTGCAGAAAAGCCATACATCATTGTGGGGCTGCACTTTGATCAGGTGGGACTTTTTTTGAGTGTACATAAAGCCCTTTGGGTCATGTACCCAAAGGGCCATTTCTTTTATTATTACTATTACTGGCTTTCTTTTTTTACGCATTTCTTTACTTTTTTCAGGAGGTGAATCGTTACAAAGGAAAAAACTACCCCATCATGAATGTCCACGAGAGAACGCTCAGCGTCTTAGCTTGTCGAGTGTGTTTTCTCATTAATCTTTGACAGTCACGCAGTGCATTGTAATCCTACTGTGACGGTCTGTGTGGTCATATTAATTTTATGTGCTTTGATTTTTACAGTACGTATCGGAAGTGGTAATTGGTGCACCGTTTGCTGTCACGAAAGATTTGCTGGAACATTTAAAGGTGAGCTCAGGCAGTGAAATAACTTTTCTCCATAGAGTAGCTCACAATCAGAAATTCACTGTTGATCTTCTGTTTTCAGGTGGATCTAGTTTGCCATGGCAAGACTGAGATATACCCAGACAAGGATGGATCTGACCCATATGCTGTAGGTCTCCAGTCCCAGCCATGATACCCAGCCATATTGTGGAGCCACTTCAATAGTCTGAAGTGATCATTTCTTTGGAAATTTCTTCTTCACATCCAGGAGCCGAGGAGAAAAGCAATCTTGCGAATGGTTGACAGTGGAAACAGCCTAACAACAGATGCAATTGTGCAGAGGATAATAAAAAACAGGTCCAAATTTCAAAATTCATAATATATCCTCTTGCATTTTAAGTATTTTTAAGGAAGCAAACGGAGTAAAGTTAACTTGCCTCAATAATAAATTCAATGTTTTCCTTTTCATGATTCAGATTGCTGTTTGAGGCCAGGAACCAGAAGAAAGAGGCCAAAGAGATTGCTGTGATCCAGGCCATGAAGCGGCAAGAGGAGGAAAAGACTAAAGACAGAGCCCAAGCTGTGCTGTAGGCATCGCAAACTGTGGTGTCAGCTTAACACTGGCAAGCTCAACTAACAAAGTCCCATGCAGTAAAATCATGGTGCATCTTTATATATATATATATATATACACAATAAGAAAAAAAGATAAGTTGGAACCAGGAAGATGCCACTGTATCTTCAAACGTCTATTTTATGTTCGGATATTTTGAACTCCCAAAGTACCTTTTTTGCCTTCAAAAGAAAGTTGAATTATATCACGGACATTTGGCACAAAAAGTGTGTGACTTTGGTATGTTGGTCTGACATGTAATTATATAACAAGAAAAATATCTGGTCATGTCTATGGGGCCATTGCTGCTTTTTGCCCAGCAGTGGGCTTAGCCCCACAAGTAATCAACCTGTCTATAGGCTGTATCTATGTAAGTATTGTTAGGTCTTTGACAAATGCTGACACTACTAAAAAGTCTGGGGAGATTTTGTTTTTGTACCTCAGTTCTAATGTCAGTTAGAAGTAAGGCATTACTCAGCCTACAGCTGACTCCTTTGGGACCACACATACTGTGCAACCAAACTCTGCTCCACTCTGCACTGACTGCTCAGAAATCATCTGAACTGCTCTGTTGTAAAAAAAATAGAGATGTTTTTAACTCCAAAATGCACATTTTCAGGATTTGAAGGTCTGACCTTTTGACTGCAATTGTATTTTTTAAATCAACACTCCTTTGATTTATGATAGTGGAGAGAAAACCGCACTTAATTTTAGCATAAGATTAATATAACAAAAGCAAAACGTTGACTTGAACATGAAGTAGGCTGTCTTTTGAGTAATGAATGATTAAACCTGTCTTTATGAAGTGAGATGAAAAATATATATTTTTTGTAGAAGTATATTTTACTCACCTCCTCTCCACTGACTGCTGTGTAGATGGTCCAATATTTCAAAGCATAATAACATGTCTGTTGAATTGGAGTGTATTGATTGTAGGCTATGATCTCCATGTTATTGACAACTCCCTGTTGACATATGATGTAGAAACTGATGGGATAACAGTATACCATTGATCAAAATAATAATATTCAGGACAGCTGTTTTGTTTCTTGTTTTCTCTTGAATAGAAAATTAGTGCACAGATTTCCACGTCCCATTTATTTTTCTTGATCATGCACACTTTGGATACATAATAGAGCAACATTAGTCACTTGAACACACAGTGGCCTTTGATCAGAATAGATGCTCTGTTCTGACTTTTTTTTATAAGTCACAGTCCTGCATGATTATTTTAAACAGCCGGTTTGTTAAGAGTAACAAGTTTTTAAGCTTGGGAAAAAATAAATTCTCCTTTCACATAAAATCCCAATGTTTGCTTGTTGGATGGTAATGGAGAATAATATAGAGTGTGGTGAGAGGTAAGAATCGCACAGAAATATTCTGTGTTGGATCACAAATGAGTGGGCAGATTTTAAACCGTCCGTCCATCCATCCATTTTTTGAAACGCTTATTCCCAAATGGGGTCGCGGGGGCACTGGAGCCTGTCCCAGTAGTCACTGGGCGAGAGGCAGGATACACCCTGGACAGTCCACCAGTCCATCGCAGGACCACATGAAGACAAACAACCACACACACTCACACTCACTCCTAAGGGCAATTTAGGAGACACAGGGAGAACATACAAACCCCACACAGAAACCCTTTTGTTCTGAGGCCATGCCGCCAGATTTTAAAGCCACAACTTTAATACCCAAAACAGATGACATTTTAATAAGGATGGCCTTTATTTTGCAACTAACAGAAACAGAACTAGACACTGGGCAGCTTTGTTTAATATCACAAGGGGAAAAAACGGGAAAAAGAATTATGTACTAAATTTCAGTTAAACTGAGCTACATCTACCTTAAAGTCTGAATTATGAAAATAACTTCCCAACACAAGGAAATAGATCTTTGAATTAAAGTTATGTTCAATGTCTTTTAAGCCTTTTTGAAAATAAACAGAATAAAGCCAACATAATGATTATTATATCAAATCCTAAATGCTAATACGTTTCTAAATGAATTAAGAAACTTTAAAATCAAGCTGATTACCTTATTTCATCATTTTGGAAGTCTTATTGGGCATTTTATTGTTGCATAGAATGACAAAAGTTAATCGTTATAGACCTTTTCTGAACTATTTAATAAATAATCTTATGACCCGACCTTTAAATGTACCTTTTTATATGGTGGCCATCGCAGATCGATTACTTCCACTGGAGAACCACATCTCGCTGCTCCATTGATTTTTTCAGAAAAAGTCATCTGCTGGACATGCATGGGTTTTTCTTCAATGAAAAATGAACAGTTTATTTAATCTGAGGCACAAAAGTAAGCTTTCCACTTTAATCTCTGGCATCAATAGAAAAAAATAGGCATGAAATAAAGATAGGAAAAGTAAGTAAAATGTTGGACATGAGTTCAAAACTGGGCTTTGAGTTTGCTGTCCTGCAGTTTCCCTGCTTCAACACACATGATTCTCATTAATGTCATAATTAGCAGGCTTGCCCAGAACTTAATCTTTCTAATACATCCATTTAATCAGAATCAGGTGTTTTGAAGCAGCAAATCTAAAACCCGCAGGGCCACTGCCCCTAAGGACCAGAGTTGGGCATCCCTGCATTAGAGGCAATAAGGTACTTGTTGGGTTTTCTATTCTATGGTCTGAGTTACAGGAAAGAAGGTTTCCCAACAACAGGTCTAAAACAAAGACTGCACTTGGTGAGATCAGAGTAGGGAAGAGGTCACAGAGGCAGCAGAACACCATTAACACTGACATCCTCTGAGGGACATGGTGACAGCACAGAATACAATTACTGTTCAGTTTCATGCTGCAGATGATGTAAATCCCATGTGTGGACTCGCAAATGCATGTGAAAGTAAGTATAGAATACTCACAGAAACCCACTGCTGCTAACACTCAAAGATCCTCAGCAGAGTGATGGTGATTATCTATTGTTGGGGTCTTGCTTATTTAGATGTTATTAATGCCACTATGCCAGAAAGGATGACCATTGAAACAAATCACACTGATGGCCATAAATGGCTTAAATGATTTACATGGTTTACATCTCTCAAAACGGTGGACCAAAAGCTGGAAACTTCAACAGTCCCAGCAGCAGAGCAGAAGCGCTTTTGTTGTTAAGGCCGTCAACGCATCTGTGAAACTTCACTCTGGACCTCGCCGGTTATCGTTCCCAAATGTGTGCATGCAGATGGAAGAAACTAAATAAGTTCTGCATTAAGCCGTTGGCTGTTTTCCCCCCGCTTTGCTCCGGCTGATTTGAGGGGACTCGGTTGATTCTTCCGGTTTAGGAAGACGCCGTTTCGCACACGTGCCACTGATTAATCAAATGATTTCGTCGGTCGGGATGTTTTTTTGTTTGTTTTCTCTTTTATTCAAAATGGCACAAACAGGCAAACGAGAGGCAAACTTTGGCTTGTGGGCATCTTCAGCTGGACAGAGAAGGAGCGCAGAAGCGGGAGGAGGATGTTCTGCTGTTTTAAAACGCTGCTTCTCCCACTGCAGGTACTCCACTTTCAGTAAATACCTCCCAATTTCTCAGCCCGCATCTCGTTTTATCTGTTGGCGAACAATAAAATTAAACATTTCGAGATGTGCGTTTTTTTCTGGCGTTTTACATGATGAATCCTCTATTCTTCATATGTAATTTTAATTGCAATTATAAGATATTCATCTTTGGTTACAGTTGCACTTAATTCTTTACTTTAAGGTTAAATGTTAGGATCATGTCTCCCTCAGACGTTCATGGGGCTGTGCCTTCGTCGGGATATTAAAGAGGAGGATAAAAAGGCAAAACTGCAGAACTCTAAGATTGAAGAAGACCTTTGTGAACTTGCCTGGGCTGAAAGGAACGTTCTTAAAATACTCATGCTTGGTGAGTTTTAAGAACGTAATTTGTTGAAGCATTGGCATATTTATTTGAAGTTACCCCCCCCACCCCCACAGGAACTGCAGAGAGTGGAAAGAGCACAGTGGTCAAACAGATAAAGTTGATCTACAGCCATGGCTTCTCCAAGCAGGAACTCCTAAGTTTTAAGGTACTGAAACAAGTGCAATATAAATACTTATACCCCACCTTAACTATAAAAAATCAAATAAATTACAGCATGTATTATAGTGTGTCAGTCACAGCTCAATAGTCATGCTGTTCTTTAAAGCCCGCAGTGTTGGACAACATTTTGACTTCTATGAAGATAGTTCTACAAGGAATGGGCATGCTGCGGATAAACCTGGCAAACAAGAAGAACAAGGTGAGTTACAGAATATTTGGAATTATTTTGGTTGCATTCTATTGCAACTCCTCTTCATGACAGTAGATGTCACTCTTATGCTGGTCATTACACACACCTATATCTGATGTTTGTTGCCAAGTTTACTCCTCCTTTTACCGGTGAGTTAAGTAAAAGAAAATGGACTCGCATGCACAACACACAGTGCAACCGTGTCATCCAGGCCTTCTTTAAAGATGGTCAGGCTTCCACTGAGACAAGTCGAAGTCTTGTATAAGTCTGCCTGCCTTGTCGGGCTGAAATGCAACATTATTATACATAGGGAAAGTTTTTCCTATGCTGATCATGAGTTCATACACGGTGTTTATGTAAGAGAGCGTGGGGCGGACGAGGAGAGGATAATGACTACCTTTGTGTGATCTTGAGCATGAAGTGTCTATTTATGCTTTCTTCTCGGTCAGATTCATGCCCGATCCATTCTGTCCTGCAGCCAGTGTTTGGGCGACGACCAGGAGCTGCTTCCTTTCGTGGCTCATGCTTTCTGTGCACTTTGGGCCGACCAAGGGGTGAGAGCAGCTGCTGCCAGAGGTTGGGAGTTTGAGCTGAACGACTCCGCGATTTAGTGAGTACACTGACCTTAAGTGATTTTTTACATTGCACAACGCCCCCAATTATGACTGACGGTGAAAATGTCATGGGAAATTGCCCAGTTAGAGGAGTGTCATCACCCCTTGTCAATACACAGCAGCGGCAAAGACGATGCTGAGAATAACTCACCTGCAGGAAATGATGTGTGTGACATTTGTGGTGCGGAGGGCTTAATTGGGAGCACATTTAAAAAAAGAAACTGTTTGCAGACATGGAGGAGGATGGAAATTAGGGTGGAGAGGGTGAAATAAACTTGGTTAAATGCTCAATTTTCTTGTTTGAGAGGGGAGAGAGAGCAAGCGTGTACGTGATGCTGTAGTTTGTGGAGACAAAAGGCAGCTGCTTTGTGATTGCTTTTCAGTCTAGAACTGTATTTACTAAATTAAGCACTCGCTTGTAAAATATGTGCATCGATAATTAAATGCAAATCTTTTAGAATTAAGTGTGTTTTTCATGTGACTAAAACTTGTTTGTTTTTTCAATTTCTGTCCCACAGCCAAACAACTGTGCTTTTTCTATGGTTAATTAATAAAGCCACAGTCCATGCAGTGTCATGAAATGCTACCTCACAGCTCTGCGGTAGAGATGTGTGTTTCTGCGGGGCAAATGAATTTCTTCCCTAAAGATGACAGTTCTTGAGTCTTGTTTAAGAAATATGTCATTTGAAAGATTAAAAATACCAAAAGGCCCATGAGCACTGCCAAGTAACGCTTTTCGGTTTGTATTTTGATTTTTTTTGTGGTCAGCTGTCAGTCGTCTTCTGTGGATTTCCGTCAATTTTATCTGCAAAAGATTTTCTGTAAGATTTAAATTGTTCTTGGTAGACCTTTTAGGTCTTGCATAGATTAAAAAGATTTTGTAAAATCTTGAGGTCATAATACCTCTTAGGATTTCTTCAGTGTGTAGCTCTTCCAGTAATTTATTTTAGGCTTAGAGCTTATTGGGATAATCATTATATTGAAGCATCCCTCTGTTATAATCAGCTTTGTAGACAACTTTTTTTTTTACGAATCTGTTGACACATTTTTTTCTATAATTAGCTGCTGCTTTCTCTTAAAAGTATTCCTTATTTTGTATTATGAACAGAGAATATTTGGAAATCCTTTGGTTAATCTTTTAAGAGCACTCTCATATTTGGTTGGCATCAATTGTTTCAGTTGTCATATAGATACTGAAAGGTGCCAAAGGGAACTGAGCGTTTGAGAAATTGGAATACACACTCAGTCATCTAGACTTTATGGCTGAGTTGATATATTGGTTTTGATTGGATTTCCCACACACACAGGAAATCATTTTAGTTGTAACTTTGTTTTTGGAATGGGTCAAACATGCGCAGTCTTCCGTCTCAATGATTGGCTGGGTCAAATAGATTATTATAAAAGTGAACGCAGACAGTTACTTTAATCATGGAAAATAATTTGTTAAAACAGTTTGACAGCTACCTGCTAACACCCAGTTAATAGTAAACTTAACGTCTTTTTCATGTTATTTGCTGTTGACTGAAGCTGCCTCCTTGCTCATCTTAAACTACTTTTTAACTGCTGTGATAGTCAGTAAGATATGTGAAGAACCATAAAATGAAAACATTTGACATGCGTTTGTTGTCTGCTGTAGTTTGAGATGGAAAAATCGTTTCTTTTTTAAAATTAATCTGTTACCTTTTAATTTAGTCTTTGAATGGTGGCAGACGTTAACGGGCTGAATGGAAGTTTTTATCTCTGGGTGAACAGGGAGTCAATCTGTCAAGATAAAATCTACTCCAGGTGCCCAGACAAAGAAAGATGGAGGTGTGACAGCTTCATTATCAGCGCTCGATAAAGTTGGTTCCTGGGGGATTATATGAAGCCTTGCCTAGCTTTCTTTCAACACTCTCTCTTTGCTGGAACCTGCATTGATTTTTCTTTCTTTCTCCTTTTTTTCCTCTACAGAAATGTTGAATTAGGGGGCTGGCATGCTTGACTTCCCCCGGGCACCCATCGGTGTAACATGACTTATTTTATAGTAATGTGCTTGAACTGAACAGTTGATGTGGATATAACTTGCCATATATATATATAATTTAGAAATTACTTCATTGTATAATATGTAAGTTATTTATTTGTTGTACAAAAGAAGTATTGAAATATTGGCTTCATTATTAGTGAGTAAAAATAGAACGCTTTTCTTTTTTCATATGAAAATAATTTTGAGCACTGTCATGTTAGAGCAAGGGTTAACATCTATTTTAGAGATTTGGTTTATAATGTATATCAATCCTATCATTAGAAGTTATTTAAATTCTGGCTTTTATGACTTATGTTTTTTTAAAGAATGTTTCCGGGATATGATTTAATGTTTAAAGTCACTGGACAAACCGCATTTCTTTTCAGGCCAATATGCAGTTAGGTCAGATGCACAAAAAAAACTCTTAGTATTTGGTTTCAAGTTGGTAAAAAATTAGACTAATGTATTTATTTTCTAACCCACAGAGAATAATGCACCCAAAGAGATTAAGTGTGTATCTGGATTTCTTCCCCTTTCTCTTCAGTTTCTTTGAGAATATGAGTCGAATCATCCGGCCCAACTACATCCCCACTGAGACGGATGTTCTGAGAGTCAGAGTGAGGACCAGCGGAATCATCGAGACACAGTTTCAAGCAAATGGAACCATTTTTCGGTAAGACTCACTGAGCGTGCAGTGCAATCTTTTTACATTACCATTATTAACAGCTTTCTCACTAGGCAGAGTTTATATTTAAACCACTTTTCAGCTTCTTGTACTTCTGCTTCTTACTACTTCTGCCTCCTTATACATTTGCATGAACATACAAACCTTGATGACATGCTCGTTCAGTTTTGACAACACCATGTAGCGGACATTAAACCTTAAAGTAACATTCAATCACATTCCCACATACACGTATGAACATGTACAAATATACAGCAAACATGTAGATTGTACCTTAACATGAAACGCAATTATTTCAAAATGCATTTTATGAGTTTTATGGCACCCAAAATTCATGTTTTATTTTAAACTTATCAATATATTACCCAGTCATGTTAACACATAACTACATTTAGGTTAATTGAGTGAGTCATGCTTGAAATCTGCTCGTTGCCAGTTTAAAGGCCCTTGGACCAAGTGTTAAAGGAGGAGGAATCTCATTAGCCTAGATTTTAAAGGATTAAATATTTAATTACATTTTGCATCTACGACATCTCCATCACAGCCATTTCTGTTTCACATGTGATGAGGTCATTAGGAGTAAGAATGCAGCAAAACCAAAAAATTAAAGCAGGGGCAACGACATCGGTTGTTCAGAAACATTCACAACAGCCATTTTGTTTCCTGCAAAATGTTGGAGATTTAAACTACAAGCTGCGTTGTATTGTGTGCTTGATGCCCACAATTTTTACCATGACTAAAAATGTGAAAAGTAATGCCTAAAATGTAACATCAACCAACTGATTAATAACTTGCAGTGTGTTCATGTGCTGCCGTCTCAGCCAGGTTTTTGAGATTCTCCTTCAAGGACGGGTGCCTCCCAACGGGAACTGGACACCCCTGAGTAGTAACAGGGGGCCGCTTCCACATACGAAACGCATATTAAATGTTGATGTTCACAATCTGCCTGGTTACACAGGAATATTAGCACAAATGTGGAAAATGCACAACAATGAATAATTAAAACCCTCCCACTTTTTTCCTTTGTGAGCTGCTGTTGTCAGACCTTTCATGGTGTTTTCTGCTTACCTCCTTATGTCATTCCCTGTGTGGGTGGTCATAGAAAACACGCATCCAAACAGAGCAGAGCTTTGCAGACATTTATCATGTAGCAGCTTTTTGAGGCATCGCAACATTCTCATCGGATAACAATGTTAATTGTGATTAGTTTTAGTATAGGTTTTAGAGAACATTGTTTAAAAAATTCACTTTTATGGAACTGTTTATGATGCTCTACTCTTTAAATCTAAAACTGATTTAATCTTATGGTAATACAACCTGACTAAATTCCTATTTTCCGTTTCTTTTTTTTTTTTTTTCACGAGTTATACTGAATGATCAGATCTGTAAATGGGAATCCATAGTTTTTTTTTTTTTTGTTTTTTCTAGTCCAGAAACTATTACTGTCAGTTCAGTTAACACCTTTTGTCTCCCAGTTTATTAAAACTGACTCCTGACCCAGAGGATAAAAGCCTCATTGCTGATGACATCTGAGTTCAGTAATCTCGCCCCTGGAGACTCTTTGGTCAAAATGGAAACTCATTACCTGTGTTGCCACAACCCTAAGCTTCACTCCGTGCTATATTGAGTGGTGAAATGGACTGGCCAAATGTTTGAAAAGTCTTTGTTTTTTTTTCTACAAGATTTACAATTACTGAATATAAATTAGATTCTCACAACTAAAGTTAAATTAGCAAAAGTGTTACGGTTGCGGTTTTCATTAATGCTCCTGAAATAAGATAAAATACCTTTTGAGTGAAATTTTTCTGACAAGTGTGCTTTAACTTATGAGATGTGTTCTGTTTTTTATTGCCACAAAATGAGTTATGACAGGGGAATTTACCACAGAAACTGCTAACTGATGCAACTGTCATTCTAAACCTGCTGTCAGTCGATCTACATCAAACCTTTTGAATGAATTATGAGGTTTTTGTTATGCCTGTTGACAGGTTTTATGATGTCGGGGGCCAGCGAAGTGAGAGGAGGAAGTGGCTAAGGTGTTTTGATTCCATTCATGCTGTGTTGTTTGTTGTGGCCCTCAGCGACTATGACATGATGCGGCTGGAGGATCCCGCTGTGGTATATCATTCAAGATTTCTATATTTTTCTTTTAAACGCATTGATTTTCATTGACTTGACACTTATCTTTATATGCCCCCATCAGAATCGGCTTCAGGAAAGTCTTGGACTCTTTACATCGATCTGCACTGATGCAGTCTTCCGAAAAAACACTCTCGTAAGTTTCATCTGCAATAGCTAAGTTTTCATGAGCTCACTAACTTGTTTCCTACCATGCATTGCTTTGAAGTTGTTGTTTTTTGTGGCCTCTTATTATTCATTAAGATTTGTCTTGTCTGTATGGGTTAATAAACTAGGTGGATTTTTTCCTGTTTGAACTTCCTTGTTTTGAGTTTATTTAATTCTGTTGCAGATTCTTTTCATGAACAAAACTGACCTTTTCCTTGAGAAGATCCTACTCTCTGCGAGACACTTGAGATTTTATCTTCCATCTTACAAAGGTACACGTTTTCAAGAACATTTCCTGGTGGAAAATCTAAGTATAATTCCAATATGACGTGTTTCATGTTGGAAGGAGAGGGTGATGCTTTTACCCTTTAATTGTTTAGATACACCCAACATGAATTATAGATAAAGTATAAATAATTGACATATTTAGTTAAAGGTAGTAATCAGTCTGTTAGAACTGTCAATTTACTCAATTTGTGGTTTTATTGGATTGAAAAAATCTTCATTCTTCCCGGTTAGACTGACATCTATTGCTTTTATTTCTCATTGAATCATTGTCAAACATGTTCTAGATTTAAAACTTTGCGTTGTTGCATTACTTGGTCAAGAATTTGGGTATTTTGTCAGTTTGTGATTAATATTGCATGTATGACAGTCTTAATTATCTTCTTCCCCAGGCCCAGACGGGGACGTGGATGCTGCAGCCCACCACATCACTGCCATGTTCTCTGCATGCAACGGCAGTAACACCAAGCCTGTGTACCACCACTTCACCACCGCCACAGACACTGCTAACATACAGCTAGTCTTCCACATGGTTATTGATCAGATTATCCGGGAGAACCTAGCAGCTGTCCAGCTTCTGTAGATCCCAAAGCTGTTTATATCATTTTAAGTTGTCTATTACAGTGATGTGAATTCCATCACAGCTGTTTTTGTTTTTGTGTGTTTGTGTTATTTAAATTGAATTATTTAAATGCACAGTTATACAAGCTGTGATTTAGCATTTTTATTTTTAACACTATTTTAAATAAAATACTTTCAGATGGTTGATAAATGTGATACTTTTGTTGTCCTCAAAACTCCTTGACTTGTTTCCCCTTCTAATTCTAAAATGGGATGCAAGCATAAAAATTGGTCTTTAGACAAAAATAAGACCTTTCTCTTCTGAGAAACATATATTTTCTGTTATTAATCACCAGGAAGTGAAATATATCTTATCATAACCTTTTTCAGAAGTATTTAGTTTCTTCAAATCTACCAGAAAATAGATAGCAAGTTGTTCGACTGAAGAATAAAACATCACAAGGACTTGTGAATGTAGCATTTTCAATAACGGTTGCGATATGAACAATTTATTCATGATAACATTTATAGCGCATTACATTGACAATTTAAATATGTGACAATTTTAATTTGGAATACTTCTGATGATGGTACACATAAGCATTTTTCTATCAAGGGGAGTGTCAGTTTTTAGTTAAATGGATTTTCTTTTCTTTGTTTTATGCCACTCTTCCAAGGAATCGGCTTCATCTTCCAGGACTGCAGCCAGCTTTTCTGCTCAGTCTCCATCACAGTCTGAGGAATCCAAGGAGAGGATGACATCTGCCTCACATTTTAGCGATCCCTTGATTTCCTGGAAAAATTTGCAGCTCTGCAGGTTTGGTGTGACTTCTTTAATACAAACAGGCTATTTGGAAAGACAAAAGATAAAAGAAGGTATTGAATGAAGATGAATAAAGGAGTCTATGACAAATAAACGATTACTTTATGGTGTCAAGTCATCACATACGGAAGTTCAAAGATAAAGCCAAATTAAAGCCAATTCATTCTACTGAGCAAATCGGTTTCAGTCAAGTCAGTGCAATTCATACCGAGTCAGTAAAAAATAAAAGAGGCATTTCTTTGGTCTATTCTCCCACATATAAGCACGCCAGCACGGACCTGGAGTTAAACAACGACACTCATCACTGAAAAGTGCAACTTTCAGATAACTAATAAAACCTCATCCAACATTTATTAGTCAACTTGCAACTATATTAAAGTCAATAATCCTCTTGTCTTTAGCTGTTTCTAAAAACCTCCCTTTTACTAACATATAAAAGAAAACTGCACATGAGAGGGTGGTTCTGTGTTCCATCAGTGGTCAGATGCGTTATGGGAGGATGAAGTCGACGATCACTGACCATTGTCTTCAAAATGCTGTTGTGCGATATTAAGCCGGACAACACGCTGCTGATCGCAGGCTCTTCAGTGTCCGGTGGAGCCTCCTCTCTTCTCACGAACGATGACCTCCGGATGCCGGACAGCAAGCCGGACGCCCTGCCCACCGAGTAATAGCTGGGACCGGCCACCTGTTTGTACCAAGCCTCCACTGGATTGCAAGTGATCACCGCGAAAATCACTGCCACGGACAAGGCAAGTTTGGGAGGAAGCTCCATGTCAGCGTGCACCTCTTCTGGGGCGGATGGTCCTGTGCTGCTCTTTTACCGAGTCCACTTCTTTTAAAGGTCCCATCTTCCCCATCATCAACATGATCGCCCCCACTGTTTCGTCAAAACTACCCTGGAGTGACTAATCACTGACACATAGGAAGGAGAGAGGAGAGGGGAGGGGACAAAAAAATCCTCAGACGTGAAGTGAAATGGAACAAGATAACAGAACATATTTGGGATAAAACTGATGTATAGATCTATAGATTTCTTGATCTACCTATATATATATATATACACATATTTATATTTCAAGTTTGACATAGCTATCTCATTAAGTGCTTTCCAATAATTATGAGAACATAGTCCCTATATTTATATATGAATGAAAATCATACATGCATGTAAACAATAATCATACAGAATGGCTGAACACTTCTTTATCTTGTCTGATCATGTCAAACAAAAGCAAAAGACGTTGGAGTGCAAACTCTTCTGTGACTGGTTTCACCACAACAAAGACACATAACTGCATCTGTATGGGACATAGGGCACTGCACGCAGGCTCTGTGTGTCTCGCATTCAAACAGGAAGAGCTAAAGAGCGCTTTTTGTTGGTAACCTCATTTACAGCCTGAGAACTTAAGCATTTGGGGTGACCTGAGACCTTTTTTTTTTCCTTTTATGACAGGAAGCTGTGCAGGCGAAATGTAGATTTACAAAGAAGAAAATGCCTGTTGACACGTTCTTTTGGATTAATATGGTTAACACCTCTACAACCTAGATCCTGTGGCCTGACATTCTGGGGAGAGAGATCCAATATGTTTGCTGAGCACAGAAACCTGAGGCGGACACTGATGCTTCTGTTTTTTGGAGGTAAATACAATCCCTACAACCTGATTTAACCTGACAACCCATAACTTTTTAGAAGATAAGAATCAATCTGTCTGTTTCAGGTGTTCTTTGCAACATGCCCATAGTGGAGTATCACCAGCAAGAGATCTGTGCAGTGAGAGGCTCGTCTGTTGTCATTCTTTGTTCATTTTATCATCCCTACATCGAGACAAAACACACGTTTTCATGGATTCACATAAAACCAAATCTTACGATTGGTCGTATAATTTTTAACAGTAGTTGGAGAAAAGGCTTTAGACATTTTCAGTATATCGGAGATAATCACAACAACTGTTCTTTAAAAATAAACCAAGTGAAGAATACTGATGAAGGAAAATATAGGTTCATGTGTAACAACTCCAAACGTGTTACATCTGTTGGCCCAAATCTGAGGGTTGGTGGTAAGTTTTTTTTTTTTTAGTAAGACATATGTAAGTTTTAATTTTTGTAAGTTTATTTATGGTACTTTTCTCTATAGATCTACGCATTTTGGTTTTCAACCCAAATGGGGATGAAGCAGTGAAGGAAGGAGACTCTGTGAATCTAACTTGCGTCAACAGCTGTGGTTACACTTCATCAGTGTTCACGTGGTTTAAGAATGGAAAAACCATAAATGAAGGTCAAGTGCTTCACCTAAGAAGCCTGTCTTCTGAAAACTCTGGAAACTACACTTGTTCTTTAAAAACACACAAAGCAACATCTGGAGTCACACGTATCAATGTTGAATGTGAGTATCTGCTGAATGACCAATTTTTGAAAATGACATGAGATAACCAATAAATGTTTGGAATTGTGTGAAAATCAGTGCTGTACGAAAGAGCCATTTCCATTTTTTCCTTCAAATAGTTTTTTCAATATTGATAGGACATGATTAAAAATGCTAATAGTGATTACAGTATTTCTATTTAAAACAAGCTAGAGACTTCTGCCGTAAAAACAGTCAGTCATTTTATAAAGGAAATTTGTGCAGTCATATTGTGCCTAAGATGGACTGATCAGGAAGTGGTGAATACAGCCTTTTTCCACCACCCCTGACTTTCAAAGGTTTGATTCAAGAGCAGTTTTAAAAATGGGAGGAGTTGGATGAGAGGCTGCATTATTGTTGTGGAGACAGGTCAAGATCCAGGGGATATATTTTTACCTCCCAGAAGAGGTGCCTATGTGTACTGTGCTCTCCTTGGTGCAGAACATACTTGTTTTACTGAAAGATAATGGTCGTTATGCATTTTCAGATGGCCCGAAGAACACGTCTGTGTCTGTGAAGGTGAGCGGCAGCAACCTCACCCTGGTCTGCAGCGGTGACGCCAACCCCGCGGTGGAGAATTACAGCTGGTATAGAACAGCTGATGATCGTAACATGAAGGTTGGACACCAGCCTGTGTTGCTTCCTGGTGGCAGTGGCCAGTATTCCTGCAGCGTCGCCAACAAACATGGAAGTCAAAATTCCTCTGTTGTCACTTTGAAAATGAAAGGTAAAGGTCTGCCTATGGCTGAAATGAACTAATAGTCACTGACTTTTAATGACTTCACCAATGGAAAATATGAGTCTTTTGATATGATTTCTTTAAGCTTAAAAACATTTGCTTCTGTATGCTACCTCCCACACGTTCAATAGCTTTAGGGATGAGTAAGTGTATATAGTCTTCTATTTCATTACATGAATGACAAAATGTTTTTTTCTTTCTTACAGACACAACAACATTTACAGGACAAATGATTATTATTGCTGTTGTTGCTGGGCTTCTGATTGTGTCCAGTGTTATCGCTGTTAAGAGGTAAGCTTCATACAGGATGAGTAGACATGTGTATGAGTACAAAAACATCTGTCTGAACACCTCAGATTCCGGAACTTAAAAAAGACAAATATGGCTTGCATAGAAGGTTTGCCAGAAAAAAGCTGGAAGAATGTTTCTTTTAACAGACAAGATCACAGTTGAGAGGTTTGGATGCACTGCAGCATGTTAGATAAAAAACGAATGTAGAAAATCTGCACAAACACCTCATGTATGTCAAACGTTATAGTAAGTGGGTGGTGATTTGGGTTTGTTTTGAGCTACAGGATGTGTGCAGCTTGCACTTAACAAATCAACCATGAATTCCTCTATGGACTAAAGTTTTCTGGAGCCAAGCAGTTATGTAAGTCTTAAACTGGGCAATATAAGAAGAAAATGGGGATATACAGCAGCAAACCTCTTATTAATACCTGACAAAAAAAGTTAAAAATGTTGCTATAGTGTAGTTAAAGTCAAGATTTTGGCCTGATTAAAATGCTTTAGGAAACTAATGCAACAAATGACCTTGAGTGTACTAAGAATTATACTAAAAATGGCACTAAATTCCATGACCTTTGCTGATCACTGACTGAACACTTGAGTGGCATGATGGGTAAGCATGTGTCATATTGTGCTTTTGTTGTGCAGTAACGTCGTAGCTATAACCTTTGGATGTGTTGGATTTATTTCAGGCTCAGGAAAAAGCAGATCCAGGGACATAACACACAGTGGGAAGCGGCAGAACAGGTAACACTTTTTTCCCCCTCATATTTGATTGTTTTTTCTTTTCACTTTATAGTACATTGTGCTAGCTGTGGTCCAAAAATCAAACCAGTCTGTCAGTCTCCCAGAGATGATCTGAATCAAAGAAAGCGACCTAATGCGAGAGAGACGTTAGCAAGTTTCTTTTTGTAGTTGAGTGACCATTTAAATATTAACGTATTAAATTCGAAGGAGAGTTTGATGTGAGGGCAAAATGTTTGACTTTTTTATCTGACTTTTTTTCCGGATCGTATTCAGAATACACACACTGTGAGTGGGCAGAGATGGGACTGCCACCGATCGCCAGAAGACAGGCTGTGTGAGGACGTGACAACAGAGGTCATCTATGCAACTATTAGTGTTAGCAAGAACTCCAAGTCAAAAGGGTACGTGCATTTGGTGATCATTAAAAAAAGAAAAATACCCAAGAACTGACAGATACTGACAGAGCATTTTCCCAGCAGTGAGCAGCAGAACTGCAAAAATGAAGATGTGATCTACAGCACAGTGGGCAGGTAAAGTTAGACTAATTCTCAATTTATCTCTAGTTCTGTTTCATTTTCAGAATCCACAGCCAATGAAAATATTTATTTACTTACATTTTTTCAGGAATCAACCATGAAACTTGATATGATGTTTGCACAGAAAATGAAGTCAATCCAATGAGTATACTGCATAAAGATGAATACAAGGAAACATGCAAGGGCAGCACACTAAAAAATTGTTGCAAAACAGTTATACTTTTTAAGTAGTCTATAAGTAGTACGTCTTCTTTTGTTTCTTTGACAGATGTTACGTTCAGATGCTTGTTGATGTTACTGAGAAATGGTGCATTTTTTTGAAAAATAAATACCAGCAGGCTCATGGTGATTTTTTTTAAACACCATAGCTAAATTGTGTGCATGGAGATCAATACAGGACAGGCAAAGAATTTATGTGGAGATTATTCTGTGGAAGAGTCAAGAAAATCCACGGCAAAGCCAATCATTGAAAGCTGCCAACACCTTCCTCGAACACCACTCTCTTCCTCATTGGTGAGAGATTGGTGAGAGCGCAAACTTCTGTAGAAAGATCTGTGCCCACCAGAGAAGGGGAACACAAAAGGAAGAGTGGGTTGTTGGTTTGCCTCTTGTGCAGTGTACACATTTGCAGGGCACGTAAACCGACCACATAGATTTATCGAAAATGTTTTTGAAAAGACTAATATAATATAGGGTGCCCTCATGTATTGAACAGTTATCTGTTAATCTGGACATAAGTAGCAAATATTACTATTTAGTGGGTCTGTTGTTTTTCATTGTCTGCTGTTCCTCAAAATTAATACATAAACAAACTTGATAACTTCTCAATTGTAGATGTTTTTGAGTATTTAGACTACAATCTATGTCAAGTTGCCCACATTTGATTTAAGCCGAGCTCGAGAGGGAAGCGAGTCAGTGTATACCCCTATTTACCTCACCACATAGAGAAAACCAGATATGTGAGATCTTTTCTCTACTGAGGCCATTCTTTTAATGACTCATATATGCCACATTACAGTTTCTTATAAACAGTCTCACCTGCAGGGTGCAGCAGATGGACTCCAATGATGATGTAGCTGTGATTTACAGCACAGTGTGCAGGTAAAGCTCAGCCAGCACACGTTTCATTAATAACTGCTTGCTTAAGGCTCCTTTGGCGCAAACATATCTATTTTCTTTTTTCAGGTCCCAGAACTAAGCCTTTAATAAACCGAGCCTTGAAGACATCAGTCAACATCTTTCCGACTGTTAGTTGTGAAGACATTTGATGTGTGGGATTATTCCATTGAATATTTAAGATTTACAACAGAGACAGCTCTAATTTCAAAGTTGATATCCAAAATATCAAGAATATTTAAGTTATTCAAAGACAACCTGTTTCTTCCTTTCTCAGGGATTTGTAAATGTTTGCCCTTGTTGTCCCTATGTTTAGCTCATGGATGTTTTATTTTTGGCACTTTGAATACTTATTTTCTCTATATAGTCATTATTCTATGATAGCTACAGTATTAATATTCCCTACCATGTCAAAGATAACCAGGACAAGTTTATTGCATTTTCGTAATAACTGCTTTTCACGAAAGGATTTTGTGTTCTTATTGACAAAAGCTCAAAACAGCTTCTAGCAGCCATTTTCCCCCATGTGGCTCATTAAAAAGACACACTTTGGATCAAATTAGGAGGCCAGGACATTATAACTCTCTTTTTTGCATGATGAAAACATTTTAAAATTTCATGTGACAAACTCTTGAATTATGAGTCCAGGTATTGTTACCATGGCAACATACCTAGGCGGAGTTATCTCTCTGAAAGGCCCCAGAAGTTTGCTTTAAATCATAGGATGTGACTGAAATCCCTCTGTGGCGTGAGCTTGATGAAATCCTGGCCCACTCTGCCCTCTGCTGCAAACCTCAGAGCAAAGCAGCAGCACTGAGCGTTGCAACATGTCGAAACCATGAACTCTTTACAGTTGTGAGTGGATGTCATGTGAAAGCTGTGGAGAGGTTCAGGTTGTAAGGGGATAAAGGTCAGCCTGCATATGCTGTGCATAGCACACTGTGTAACAATAAACACCTGCGAAGTGAACAGGTTTACCCTCCCCTGAGGGTTAACAGAGGCAGGGTGGCGTGGATCTTGTTTTATGACGCATATATTCTGAAAACATATCAGCACTTTCTATTTCCCTGCAAATTGCCTTTACAGTAGCTGTGCCACACCCTGTTTGAGAACCAGTTGATCAGTATTTTAATTAACGTCACGCAGCTGTCACAGAGTTCATCTTCATACAGTTTTGAAGTGTCAACAAAACTTGATTTTACCATAGCAAGAGTTACTTAAACTATTTTCATGAGATAGTCAATATTAATTTCATGGTCACCTCCCCCAAAGTAAACATTTTCCCTTCTCTTTATGTAAGGGCTCTCTTTTTTCCAGCTCACTTTATTAGAGGAATTTCCCTGCCACACCTTTGATTATCAAAGGGGAACAGTTGTAGCACAGGGATCTTTTTATTTTATTTTGCTTTTAACCCCCGAAAAGCAGCTTGCCTTTCAGGGGACAAAATACGTATTAGTTCAGATTATAGTTAAATAACAGTTGGGCCAAGACCTATGTCTCACCATTTCCATGCTAAACTGAATGCCAGTGGAAACACCATTTTATTTCTCAATCAGACCTATCAAATGTCACATTTTTTGTGGAAATGTGAGACATATTAATCAGTTTGTGAGCATTTTAATTGTGCTTTATGTTTGTAAAATGTGATATAAGCTTTGTACTTAAAATAAAACTGCAACATTAAAAGATCTGAAGAGATGACATTAATTCTGCTGTTACTTAAAAACACCTCTGATAATGTTCATGTCTTTATTGTTACATTGATATTGACACTTTTGAGTATTGCGCCTATGTCAAGTGGGCAGACAATAAAATTCCTCTGCAATCATAGCTACTGTTATGAAGTTTGTGGTTTCGGTAAGTCTTGTTAAGTCATGTTGAAGGATAAATATAGGATATTTCTTTAGAATCTAAATTAATAGTTTGTTAGTTCAGAGTGCGGGGGAAAAAAGTATATCGATATGATTCACCAATGCTGTAGCCTTTATCATAGCCGACGCCCACTTTTGGAAGAAACGAAACTTTAACTAAAACGAGGAGGGGAAACCGAAAACGGGGCTTGTTCGTCAGCACACGCCGGGACGCCGCCGGGGCCGCAGCACGGACGGTTTGGCGGCTTTCGCGTTGCGGGACGGAGGAGAGAGCAGCGTCTTCTCCGGTAAGTGCGACAATATAGGTGGATGCCAAAGAGCAGGAACACGCTATGGCAAAGTAGGAATGAACTAGTTCTATTAGCCCGAGTGGGCTAAATGACTTGTCACGGGACGCTACTGAGTAAGTGTAGCAGAGGCGGGTTCACAACGTGCTTTTACTTAGTTTTACACCTGTCTGCCTCTGCCCGCTGTCAGGAGCCGTTTCCAGCCGAAGCGAGGCAGGTCTAAGCTAATGCTAGCTAATGCTAGCAGCGCAGCAAGCTAGTTAGCCCGCTCGCATGTAAATTTAAGAAAAAGTGCTGGTTAGGTTTGAACCGGCGCATTTTCTGCAGATGACAAATTGTTATCGACCTGATATGTTAGCTGCCACATTTTGATATAGCCGTCATTCCCGGTTTTGTTGTCAAAACAAACAGGAAGTAACTAGAAATATGTTGTTTAGAAGCCAAATAGGTGATTGGCTGGCCTCAAACACAAAGATCGTCGACTAGGCAGAGGAGTCAGTCCCTACCGGAAAAGTGGTTTCTTTAACCAAACGTATGCAAGCATGGAAAAAGCTAGATACATCAACAGATATAAAACAGTTTGTGTATGTATTTTTCATATAAAAAAAAAAACTACAAACAAAGATATGATTCTTATCTGTATAGTTTAAACTAACTGTGGTTTCGTTTCATTGTCGTTTCACATTCTTTTACTTAGTCAATGGTATAAAAACATGTTTTCTTTTAGAAAGTATAAATATATAAACAGAGAGGCCATGGTATAAATCACCTGAATAATTAAGGAAACAAATGGAGAAACTAATGTAAGAGCCATAAATCGGTCATAGGTTTCACTTTTGATTCTCCGTCATACTGGTTCACCACAGATGTTATGTTTATGTTTAAATCATCATGACAATCCAGATTTGTTTTCATCCTTAGGGATGTGTTCTATGTATAATCAGCATTCTGGTTTGCTTTTGTCCTGTTGGTGGGGTCGGTGTCTGTGGATCTCAGTTGAGGTGTTTGTTTATTTGGCTGGTGGCAAAGCAGCAGCACTGCTGAATGACTTTTCCATTTCAACCCTCACAGGGCTCATGGGGCAGTTTGTTTGGTAAAGCTGCTCATAGTTCACTTAATAAGAAATACTTGTGTTCCATGCAATTTTTACAGATCTGATCGCTCTGTCATGAGACCATTGCTGGTAGAACTGAAAGTGAAAGGTTGCTGCTTTGTGAGTGAACGTTACCTAAAAATGTTTGATTCTTTTTTTAGACTGAAAAGCGACAATGAAGTGCTTGTCCTGTAAGCACGACATTGTGGAGAAAGTAGCCAAGTTCTGCAGTAATTGTGGCACTAGACTTGTCCAACCTAAAGACACTCAGGGTAAGTTGATCATTTTAGAGTTTTTGAACATAACCGTTTACTGTGTTTGACTATTTTCCATCCTCTGGAAGTAAAATCTGTCTTAGACTACTGTCTTTGAGATAGTTTGCCTTATAAGAAGGACAAGTGCCACTGTAACATAATGCTTTATGTAATCAACAGTGTGCCAACAAAAGGTAACTGCCCAGTTAACGTTAAATTAGATGAATTTGTGCTGTGGGATGTGGGAGGAGTAGATTGCACGAAAAGTTATGTGATCTAAATATGAGTATAATGTTACATACTATAACCTTTGTATTTATAAAGCATTATTGATCAATGGCTGTTGAATTTATTGTCTAACATTTTGTGATACAACTAATGCAAAGGAATGTCATGAAAATTGACTGAGGTTAAGTTTGTGTATCAGTTCCATCAGAGATAATGTAAACAAATCCAGATGGTATCTGTCAGTTGATTTATTTGTTAATTTATTAATTTACTCTTTAGGACCATATATATCATATTAGATAGATTAGGTTTAAGAAATACTTTATCTGAGGCCTTTTGCATTATTTAATGGTAAAAAACACAGTAATTGTGACTTATTTCACTGTAATAAATTATGAATATTAAAAATTATTCCTGTTTTTTTTTAAAAGGTCAAAAGACTTAAAACTGAAAAAAACAAAGAATTGTGTCTATTCCAGGATTAAATCCTTAAACTGCATTTCTGTTATCTAGATAAAGGAAGTCAGGCTAAACCCTTGGAAACGGATGTGGGTATAAAAACTGAGGAAACGGAGTCTCCGATAAATGAACAGGTTCCGGAGAATAAATCTCCAAAGCGTCCAAATGATGAGCAGCTCACCACAAAGAAAAAGGTGAGTGCAATTAATAGGATTAACAGCTGCACAATGATACTCAGTTTCCCAGAAACTCTTGATGATTGAGGGTTATAAAGTTGAGCAAAATTAATCACCTTTGTCAGCTTGTTATCAGTAAGTGCCAGAGATGATTTTTCTTTGATAACATAAATATTAATTTGGTTTTATGTGTTGCTGCGCTTATCTGAAAGGCAGCTATGTTTTACTGAACAAACTAATCATGCTTTGTCAGAAAAGCTGTGTTTTTAAAGTACTTCAAATAAAATTTAAATTCATCGTTATATCAAACAGTTAATAACAAGCATTAAAGTTAGCATTATAGTTAGTCAACCCCATCAACTCTGATTTAGTGAAACAGTTATAACAATTATTTTAATTATTGTTCATATGTAGATTGGAATATGTTGCATAGGAAGGGTAGATTATACAGAATGAATATTCCTTTTTCTAAATTTTAGTTTGTGTTTCAATTTGTTTTATTGGAGATATTATCCTTTTTTTTTAGAAAAAGAAAAAGAAGAGGAACAAGAAAAAGCAAGATGGTATCATTCCATCAGATCAAGATCAAAGCCTTTCTGATGGGTCACATAATCCTCTGGGAGACAACCAGACGTCCAAGAAAGAAGACAAAGATGACTCCAGCGACAGTGAGAGCTCCGACCAAGTGGAGTCACAGCCTAGTTCATTAGCTCCTGAGGATACGGCTGCGTCCTCTTCTGAAAAACCTGATTCTGCAGGTGTTTTACCGTCTAAGGAACCTGAAGCGGCTGCGGGTGATGCACAAAAATCAGCTCAGGATCAGAGGCTCAAGACAGCATCACCTCAGCCTCCAAAGTCACAGAACAGGACCTCCCAGCCTGGTCCAGGTGGAGGAACAACCACCACTAATACCGAAGGCCAAAAAACAGCCAGAAAGAATTCGAAGAACAATAAAGAAACAATGAATAATGCACAAACTGATTTGGACCTCAATGCCAATGAGGAAAAAACAGCTAAACAGAAGACGGGAAAACTGCAGGGAAAGGGTCAGCATGAGCAGAAACGGAAGCAGAGGGAAACTCAATCAGAGGTAATAAGGAGATGAAGGAGAAGACAAAGTGAGATCTGAATTTTCATTATTTATGTATAACCATAAGACTTCTGCTATCTCTGTTTTTACCACAGGCTGATAACTCTGATATGGATGTGGAGTCAGGGGACAGAGTTGAAAAAAATACTGAGGATTCTGAAATGACTTCTGGCAGTGACAAGGACTGTAATGAGGGCAGTAAGGATAACACAACAGGCCCGCCACCCAAAAGGTGACTCATTTCTATCAGGCAATGAACAGATTCATGAAAATGTGTTTATTGTGCATTATATCCAATTTAACGGTTTCTCTTTTTCTTTATGCATTGCAGGCTGACACAGAACAAAAACATTTCTGCTAGCAACAGACTCACAATTTACTTCCACGCAGTTCTTTCAAAGGACTTCAAATTCAATCAGATGGAAGATCGGATTTTCATCAGAGCTGGCTCCCCCATTGGTTCATGGGAAGAAAATGCTGCTGAGCTGATTGTGACTAGGTACCTTTTCCTGACATATCAGTCCAGTTTTTATGTGTTCTGTAGAGAAGAAAAACAAAGTGGTTTATGATCAACTTTATATATTAATATTTTGTTTTCAGTTTAACATATCTGGTAAAGTAGGCAGCTTCCCCCTAGAAAAGTGATGCTTCATATTTATTTTGCTCAGAGAGAAAATAACAGCCCTTTAAATGATTGTTTTCAGTTACAAAACTGCCAACTGTTTAAATGTTTCACTTTTCCTCTTTAGATATGCCTAAACATGTGGGGCTGACTTGATATTTTTCAGGGATTTTTTCACCGTATAAATTCTTCATGTTTTTTTTTTAATGCAGAGATCTTGGAGAGCATGGGTTTCTGGTTGAAGGCAGTTTAACAACCAGGAGAAAGGAAACCGAGTCTGAGTCGATACCATACAAATATGTTGTCTACAAGGATAAAAAGAACAGCTATGAGTATGAGTACATATACAAACTGGATTCTTCAGAACACCCCACCAACAGATGCTTGTTTGTGAAGCCTCAGTTAATCACTGCTGATGGTAAATGTAGCTTTCACTCAAACACATTTTCAGAGTCTTTACAGTTTTATTAATGCTGCATGATGCTGTTTTTTGCATCTCAGATGTTGGACTAATTTCTTGTTACCCCTGTTTTTTCTAACCTTATTGTTTTTGTTTAAGGGGATTGGCATCAGTATGATGACATCGTCTGTGCTGAACCATCAAAGAATATCATCAAACGAGGCATTCAAAGCGTGAAGGAAAAATTTTGGCCTGAACAGCGGGTCAGACTGATTCAAGGCAGAATAATTGCTGGGAACCTTATGCTGGAGAGCATATTTGATCTTCTCAGGAGCTGGAGTGATACCAACTTGAAGAATTTCCAAATCCAACTCAATCAGTTCTTTCAGGTGTACGGGAATCCTTTTGTGTATGAAGAGAAAGGAAAGAAATGGCATTCCCTAAACTTTGGGGAAGATGATGTGAGTATTGAATCTTTTTATGGAGCCTTTAGACATACCGTTTTGTTCTCCTCACCTCCCTGAATCTTTGTTATAATTTAATAGGTGCGAGAAATTCTTAAGGAGTTCATGCTGACAAATGTGATTCCTCAGCTGAAGGATGGGGATGGAAAATGTCTCTACATTCAGGACACATTGAGAGCAGCTGTGATCATGCTTTATGTGCAAAGGCAGTACAAAATCAAACTTGAAAATGGTCAACTCCATAAGCTCTGTAATGCTCTATGTTTACCCAAACTAGAGAAAGACGAATTTGTTAGGTACTGGACAGAATTTTCCCACAGTGTTTCAGTTCTGAAAAGGTAAGGAACTAACTTTTCACCATACATTAAAGTGCTCAATGTTGATGTCATTCATGATTTAAGTGATTTAACTTTTTTTGCTTTAGTTTGCCAGAGATGTTGGTTGCACATATAACAGCTGTGAGAACGATTGGAATGACTCGATGGATCATGGTACTACCACTTCTGCACCTCCTCAAAGGCACTGCTAAGCCATTTGAAGTACAAACATCTGGAAATTTGAAGTATGGCTTGCCATGGGCAGGTTTGCAAGGAATTGGCATGAGTACAACATACATGAACAGCCAAGACAAGAAGTACGAATCATATTACATCCATCACCATGCCTTCTTTTATACAGTTACTTTCACATTTATGGGAAAAAGAACATTCATCACTATGCTTTTATCAAATTGTTTTTGGTTTCAGATCGCTTATGAATGTGATGAAAAACCACAGTCACTTGCTGGAGACTGATCCGCTCTTAGTTCGATCGTGTTTGTATCTGATGACAATTGATGACCTGTTGGAGTGCAGCAACTACATAAACCCTGGGCTTTTGGACGTGCTTTGTGTTTTGACTAACAAAGTTCCTCAGGAAATGAATGCGAGCAGCTTTCAGGTGATTTATTTTATTATTAGTTATTATATTATTATGGATGTTTTCCATATTGAATAATTAGTGACTAAAGATTATTTTGATCTAGTATTATTAGCTTTGCAGTTTCCATACACCAGAGTAAGATTAACAGACACCTTGTTGTATGTGTGGTCACCTTTTTTTCTCAAATGGCAATCTTTATATATTTTTTTCTTTTTAAAGGCTGTGACAGATATCCTTAAACATGTACAAGAGCGTCTCATTGAAGAAAAATACAGGTATGCACATGAAGTCTTTGAATGCATCCAATCAAAGTGCCTGAAAGTTTGTGGAGTGCTTCCAAAATGTTCAATATTTCTTCATACTGTAAGATTCTTTTACATGGATAGATTAAATCAACCCTATTACACGCAGATAAACGCAAATCTATCAAAACTTGATGCCCTCAAAACATTGGATTTGTATTCTAGAATAAAAAAGGAAACAATTGAGATCTTGCTTCATGTTAGAAAGGTTTGCAAAACCAGACTGAGAGAACGCAAATATGTAGAAACTCAGAAGTGTTTACATGATTTCAAGCTCCACCACATGAAAGCATTCATATTCTTATATAATTTTTCTTTTGTTTTTATTATAGTTATTTCACAGAGGCTTACAGGAGAGAGTGCCTGGTAACAGCGGTGAGACTGCTAGAAAAAATCTGCAAAGGGGTCAAACTAGGATCCTACTACCAAAACTTCCCTGGTATTCCTGTGGCATGCATGAATCTGGTCGCATCAGTGTCAGACTTTGTTCAGTGTAACAAGCAACAGGTATAGTGTTTAATAATTAGCTAAATTTATCTGAGGCATTTTTATTGATTATTTGTTAATCTCAGAGACTGTATAATTTTACATTTAGGAGACTCAAGACGGAAATGTAGAGCAACAAAACGCAAAGAGAATGGTCTCTGCGGCCATGACCACAATGAGAAACTGGATGAATCAGCCCTCCACACAGAATTTTATCAGCAAGGGTCTGTTGTCGTTTTACCAGATGAACAAATCCGAAGAGATTGAAGTAAGCAATTAATTTATTCTCAAATATGAAGCGTGCAGATGGATTAAACAATTGAGAAATTTCAGAACCAGACATTTAATAGCTTGTGGTTTACAGTTGTGGAACAACATAATCTCCATCAACTTTAAAGATGAAGACTGGACAAAAGAGTGGAGAGAGACATTCACTTTGGATTTTGAGGGAAAATACAAACAGGTACATATGTAATGTTGGTAAGAATGACATTGTTTTTGGTTACAACAAAATCGTTTCATTGTACTGAAGTGACTGTGTGGTTTTAGGAAACTCCTCTGAAACAAATAGAGTTCTACTGCAAAAACATAGAGGCCTTTAGTGCTTCCTATCCACATGTTGCTGCCTGTATTGAAAAGTGTGCTCTTGAAGCTGTTACAGCTTTGTGCCAGGTAAGAAGACTTATTATTCCCCTTTTAACAGTGAAACACATTAGTGACAAAGCTTATAATAATCCTTTACACATTTGAAAACAATATTAGCACTTTTTCAGTCCAATTTGAAAGATAACTAATGGATTTTCCGAATCATAGTTTGATGAGGAAAAAATAGATAATTGGTAATGTACAATTATATGACTTTATGGTTGTTTTTCCTGCTATTTTTTCATTTTCTGCAGACAAGGTCTGAGGGAAAATTGTTTGAGAGGTTGACGATCAGCTGGAAGTTTTGGAAACTCATCTCTGCCATTATTCAAAAATCATGGCCAAAAGACATTCACGGGAAGTATCAGGAAGATGAAGAGGTGGTCTTTCAACACCTTCTGTCCTGGGCGGCTGCCAAAGACATTTTACATCTTTATGGTATTTCACAACAACTATTTCTTAAAATAAGAAGTTGAGCCTTTGAAATTAGCAACAAATTAGTAAATAAAACCAGGATTAATTAAGTCAGATCATATTATCTTATACGGGTAAGAACTCATGAGCATGCCAAGCACCGCAAACGACTAATTTTAGAAATTTGTGGCTTCTGTCTCTCCAGGTTCAGATGAAAAGCTGATGGAGAAACTTTGTCAGGATGCCAGGGATAGAATTTCCCATGCCATATCATCATTCACTGCTGTTAACTGTCAACTGGTTCAAGGAAACATTAAGATCAGCCTTCTCAACACCATTCTGGAGAGGCAGGATGCCTTCTTGGAACTGCTGAAAATTGGTAAAGATGGGATTCTGAAATATGTCATCCAAATTAAAGTAATCCGGCATGACATTGGTCATCATACTGAAGTATCTGTATGTATTTTGATATTGACAGACTGCTTCTCTGAGAGTGGAAAGTACAGTGATAATACCAAAATGAAGCGACTGTTGGAACACAGACAAAATGAAATAAAGACTTTACGCCATGAAAAGGAGCTTGTGGATGTCATCTTGACAATGTGCCACAAACTTGAAGAACACATCACAGGTATGTTCATCATCAGAGTTGTTTTAGTAACTTGTTTTGCTTCAGATAAATGTGACATATTTATTTTATTGTCATTATAGTTGACATTGCTGATTTGGAGGACCACAGTCAGGTTAACATTGAAATGATGCCCTTAAACCATTTCATGGAGGTTCGCCAGTTTGACAAACTGGCCTCGCCAATGACTGGTATTGTCACCTATTTCAACCTGAATGAAGAAATCAGAGAAATGGCAGAATACCTTTTTACATCTAAGGACAGTTACATATTCAGAGCGTGTTGGGAAAAACATGCAAAGGACTACGCTGCTGAAGTAGCAGAGGATGATGAGCTTGATGAGCATGCTGTAGTGGACATAATGGCAACACCAGAAATTATATACGAAAATATTTTCTTGGCTTGTTCCGCTGAGTACGGTAAGACCTTCAGTCGCCTGAAGAATGGTAGTATAAGGCTAGAAGAGGTCAAACAGCTTTTTGATGCATACAAGGGAAAGTACGACAGTCTAAAACATGAACTGGATATCATGTGCAAAGTCAACAAGTCAAAGGACAAACAGTGGATCCACAACAGGATTGAACAGATCGAACAATATCACGAGCTTCATCTAGCTGTGACCTCAGCTCAAATAATCATGAGGGTCAAACAGACACTTGGATTGCAAGGGGACTTCACAGTTTTGGAAACGCTTTTGGAAATCGTAAGTCAGCTTGTTTCAAGATTGGCGCAGATGGCTCATATAAGTACAGATATTAGACTGTTAGTATCTGCATAATGTGCTGTGCCCCCACACTCTACCTAATTACATTTGATCTTCTCTGACCTCAGATTCATGCCGACTTTCAGAAAGAGCCACTAAGTCGCATTGACAATGACTTGATGCAGGCTAAAGTGGCTCTGGTGGACATCACAGAGCCTCGCAGACTGTGTCTGGAGGAGCTGGGACTCAGAGGACATTTTGTAAAATGGGTGAAGGATGCTCTTGAAGGTTAGTATGGTTGTCAAAGAATCACATTTCTTTCCAGAGTACTTTACAGGAAATTTTTAACAAATGTTATCGAATGATCTTTTAGATATTAATGAGTTGAAGGTTTTTGTTGACCTGGCTTCCATTTCTGCGGGGGAGAACGACATGGATGTGGATCGGGTGGCTTGCTTCCACGATGCAGTCCTTGGCTACTCCTCAGTGCTTTATGAGCTTAGACCAGACTCAGGCTTTTGGGCTTTAAAAGAATTGCTGAAGAAGCTCTGGAGAGCTTTGGAGAATGATGGAAAACTTCCACAAAAACTGGTAAAAGGACACCCATAGATGTTACAATGCTTCACATGAAACAGTCATCCTTCAGTTTCTCGACAAATTATACAGTATTAAACATGGCAAGTGTTTAATAGTTTATATACCAATGCCATGTGGTGTATGATTCTGATAAAACTAATAAGGGATCTAAATGTAGATTAACTACATCAAGGGTCGATTGTTAATTCTCATGTAAGTACTGTAGGTAAATGTGTCTGATAACATTATTAAAAATGCAAATATTTTTACTGGTTCTGATGGGGTAAGGACCCTTGGTTCAATTCTAATAAAATCACATTACAGTGTGATAAAGTGGAGTATATTCTCTTTTAGCGGGACAGTGCACGTCATCTGGAGTGGTTGAAGACCGTCAAAGACAGTCATGGGTCTGTGGAGCTATCGTCTCTTTCTTTAGCCTCAGCTATCAATAACAAGGGCGTCTACCTGATCAATGCACACAATGTCAAAAAGGTAAATGTTAATGAGTCCTCTCTAAGAACAAAAGTCTTGCAGAATTACATGTGTATTCATTTGTGTACTTGTTTTTTGATCCAGCTGAGTCTTGACACAGCTCTTAAGCTGCAGATTCCCGAGGAGCATGATGAGGGACTGCAGTGGCGCTCTTATTCTCTTGAGGATCTGAGGGAGTTGCAGAACAAACTGATGCTCATGTCTGGAAAAGGAGATCAAGGGCAGAATGAAGTTGATCAGTTTGCAGAGGTATAAAATGCTTCCCTTTCATAAACACTTACTTAAAACCCCTTTACTTTTTACATATCACACTATGTTTTATTGGGAATTTATTTATATACCTAATAATATGAATAAGAAAACCAAAGTGTTGATTTTAAATATTTCTAAAACTACAGAAATTTAGGAAAATATCCAAGCCCACTCATTTGGCTTTCAATGACATACTCTAAATTTATGGACAATCTTATTCATAAAAATATAATGTACACTTTTTGACAGAACTTTGAAAGCCTATTTGTTCCTGAATATCCACACTTGCATCTGACTGTAGGAATATTTTTGTTCTACAGGTGTTTGCTAGTGTTCAGAGACTAGCTGAGGCCTTTATTGCTCTTTACTCCGCTGGAAATCCACTGTTCAGAAACTGGGAAGTGGAGATAAATTGCTCCCCGAGTAGTCAAAATCCCAGCATTGTGATGGACTTCAACTTAGGAAATGTTCTCAATGTAACTGTGGAGGGCAGCATAGAGGAGCAGATGCCTGAACTTTGCAGAAAGATGGAGAAATGTCTTCACTACTGGATGGATTTTGTAGAAAAACAGAGATCAAATCAGTACTATTTGAACTACTACACCGCTGAACAGATTGTATACCTATGCAGCAAACTTACTCAGCAAAATTCAACCAATGTAGAGGACCTAGTTCTCATGATGCTCTCATTCATCAAACCAAACTGCACGTCCAGTGACCTAAGGCAAGTCTGGCATGCCCTTCAGTATGAAATCCTCACCAAAGCACCAGAAGAAAATGAAGACATTGAGTTTCAGACTTTTGTTGTGGTTCCATCAAAGGACCAGGAAGAATCAGACTTGGACACCAAATTAAGTACTTTGCCAAGTATTTTAGAACAAGCAAAGGGTCTACAAGCATTTGATCAGATTTGGAATGCTTACATGAAGGACATGAAGAATTTCTTCCCTGACCTTCTTGACATAAAAACTCTTGGAAGACTCTTGGAAATGCTGGCCAACAAACAAGATGACGATGAAGAAGACAGTGAAGAAGACATTTCTGATTACAACACTGGCAATTTCATCCAGAGACAGCTACCTCAAGGACTGGTAACAGGAATTCCAAACCTTATTGTTTGTCCACATGAAGACATCTTGAAATCTTGCATCTCCATTTACATGAGTAGCTCAAATGAAACACTCCCCACCTATGATGAAGTCCTGCTGTGCAACTCCTCAACTCCATATGAGCAGGTGGAACTATTTCTCAGACGCTGTCTGAGCAACGGGTACAGGGGCCAGAAGATATACTCATTGCTCTATGGGGATCTCCTCACTTACGATGTGAGCTCCAAAGTTGAGAACTTCTTCCAGCGAATGAAAATGCAGAGTAGGACAGACTACCAACTTGTTATCATTTGCAGCTCAGAAAGGGAACACACATACCTTCCGTCAGCCTTTAGTCAGTACAGATTGCACATAGTGCCCCAGGAGCCACTGGCAAGAATCCAGAGGTACCTCCAGAAACACTACACTGTTCCAGCAGAACAATGCAGTGCTGCGGCAGCATTTAAAGACAGACTCTGCGTTGGCGTCATCTCCTCCAAAAGAGCCGGAGTTGGTGTGTATAAGAACTACTTTGATTTAAGAATGTATTTCACTGAGTATTAATTGTTCTATTGTATTAATTCTGAATTTTAGGCAAGTCTTTGTACATCAAGAGACTCTTTGAAAAACTTGAGAACTCAACCAAAAAGAAATCCACAATGAAATGTGTTCGCTTGATTGAACCAACCATTGATGAGACTGTTATTCTTCAGTCTTTGTTGGACACCCCGAAACAGAAAGAGCTTGCTATGTTTCACTTTGACATCACATCAACGGTAACTATTTCAGTGCTTCATGTGTTGATTAACAGGCATTTTAATGCAAGCATATTTTGACATCTTAATTGTAAACTAAATGTTTTTTTTTGTGTGTTTTTAAAAAGGTGCAGAAAGGTCTTCATGAGTTCCTTTTCAAATTGTTGATTTTGCGTTACTTAATGGACTCTGAGGGAAAGATGTGGAGGTGCAATAACAAGCAGCTGTATGTCATTGAAATTCTAGAGCCCTCCATCAAGTCGATCAGAAATCGGCAGGTAGGAGTTTTATCAGATTTTTTTATTTTTTGTTACAGTCATATGACTGATGCCCTAGCATCAGTCATTTTAGTTTAAACTGTAACTTGCCTTAGGTTGTAATCCTTTCATTCTGTTTTTTCCATAGGATCAAACCGTGAACAGCACATTTATTGACGTGTTTCCAAATGTCTTCTGCCGACCACCCAAAGAGGTTTTGATGCTGGAGACGAAGATGCAAGAGGATCCTACCATTGTGAGCAGTGAGGACCCACTTATGGATGATGAAGAGTTCAGAAGTGAAGCCTTTCAGCGGCCTTACCAGTACCTCACACGCTTTTACAACCACAGTAATCTAGATGTGTTCACATATCAGGGCATTGAGGGGTCACACGTGGAATGTCTCCAGATGTTTCTCATGCATTGTGGCATCATGGACCCATCCTGGGCGGAACTGAGAAATTTTGCGTGGTTTCTTAACCTTCAGCTTAAAGACTGTGAGACATCTGTTTTTTGTGATGCCTCTTTCACCGGAGACACACTAAGCGGATTCAAAACATTTGTGGTGGACTTCATGATTCTGATGGCAAAGGACTTTGCTACGCCATCCCTTAGCATCTCTGACGAAAGTCCTGGCAAGATGCACTCCCATCGACCTGGTGTTCGAGATCAAGACCTTGCTCCCTTTCTTATCAGGAAAAGATGGGAGACAGAACCTCATCCATACATCTTCTTTAATGATGACCATGTGTCAATGACCTTCATTGGTTTTCATCTTCAGCCAAATGATCAGAATGGTGTTGATGCCATAGACCCCAACTCAGGAAGGGTGATCAAAAACAATGTCATGACAGGGGCATTGTATGAAGGCTTAAAACTTCAGAGGGTCCCTTTCAACATCAACTTTGATAGCCTTGAAAGGTGGGAGAAAATAGAGCGAATCTGCAATGTTCTAGGGATCCAGTGGCCTGTTGATCCTGATGAAACATATGAACTTACAACTGACAACATATTGAAGATGCTGGCAATCCACATGCGGTTCCGATGTGGCATTCCTGTAATTATTATGGGCGAGACAGGATGTGGTAAAACCAGACTCATCAAATTCCTTTGTGAATTGCGAAGGGGCGGGGTGGCCACTGAGAACTTGAAACTGGTCAAGGTGCATGGAGGGACAACGTCAGAGATGATCCATGACAAAGTCAGGGAAGCGGAAAATATTGCTTCAGTCAACAAGCAAGACTATGGATTTGACTCAGTTCTCTTTTTTGATGAGGCCAACACTACAGAAGCCATCAGCAGCATCAAGGAGGTCCTTTGTGACAAGACGGTGAAAGGGGAATGTTTGATACTTAACTCTGGACTGCAGATTATTGCTGCATGCAACCCTTACCGGAAACACACAGATGAGATGATTCAGAGGTTAGAGTCCGCTGGCCTTGGGTACAGAGTTCGAGCAGAGGAGACTGATGAAAAACTGGGCTCTATCCCTCTCCGACAGCTTGTATACAGAGTTCAAGCATTGCCCCCAAGCATGATCCCTCTTGTGTGGGACTTTGGACAGTTGAATGATCACACAGAGGAAATATACATTCAACAAATTGTTCAGAGAGTTGTTAAAAGCAAAGCAATTAATGAACAGTACATCAAGTGCATCACAGATGTCCTTTCAGCTTCACAGAAGTACATGCGGAAAAGAAAGGATGAATGCAGCTTTGTCAGTCTGAGGGATGTTGAACGATGCATGCAAGCCTTCATCTGGTTCCATGATCACCACAAAATGTTCTCTATAGAACTTCAGAAATTTGAGGGGAGCCAAAATGACACAGTGACTGAAGGGCAAGAGAGACAATCAGACTTCAGGGATCCTGTCCTATGGTCTCTAGTGTTGGCAATAGGTGTCTGCTATCATGCTTGCCTTGAAGATAAGGATAAATACAGACAGAAGATCAGCAGAAGGTTGCCTTCACCTTACACTCCAATTAGGGTGATGCATGAAATCTCACTCATGCAGGATTTACTTTTGAGTGGCGTGCCAATGGGGGATACTATTGCAAGAAACAGTGCCCTAAAAGAGAATGTGTTCATGATGGTCCTCTGCATCGAGTTAAGAATTCCTCTCTTCCTCGTTGGGAAACCCGGGAGTTCAAAATCGCTGTCCAAAACACTGGTGGCAGATGCAATGCAAGGCCAAGCTGCTCATTCAGAACTCTACAAAATGCTCAAACAGATCCACCTGGTGTCCTTTCAGTGCAGCCCCCACTCTACGCCAGAGGGCATTATCAGTACATTCAAGCAATGTGGACGGTTCCAGGAGGGAAAAAATCTAAAGGAGTACATTTCAGTTGTGGTGCTTGATGAGATTGGACTGGCAGAGGACTCTCCAAAGATGCCACTGAAGACTCTTCACCCATTACTAGAGGAGGGATGCATCGATGATGAGCCACTGCCCCACAAAAAGGTGGGGTTCATTGGTATCTCCAACTGGGCACTTGACCCTGCAAAGATGAACAGAGGTATTTTTGTCTCCCGTGGTGACCCTGATGAGAAAGAACTCATTGAGAGTGCTAAAGGCATATGCTCATCTGACATTATGGTTTTGGACAAGGTTCGGGATTTCTTCCAGTCCTTTGCAAAAGCCTATTTGGATGTCTGCCGCAAACAAGACAAAGGCTTTTTTGGCCTACGTGACTATTACAGCTTGATTAAGATGGTCTTTGCAGTGGCCAAAGCCTCTCAAAGGATGCCCACAGCAGAGGAGACTGTGAAGGCAGTGTTGAGAAATTTCAGCGGCTTGGATGATGTGGATGCAGTATCCGTGTTTACCGAAAGGTTGCAGATCGCACCAGACCTGGAGAATGTCAGCGCCATTGAGTTTGTGAAGGAAAACATTCAGGCCATTGGTCAGGAAGAAGAGTGTCGGTACCTCTTGGTGCTGACCAAAAATTATGCTGCCCTTCAAATCCTGCAGCAAACATTATTCTCAGCAAACAGTCAGCCAGAAATCATCTTTGGATCTAGCTTTCCAAAAGATCAGGAGTATACCCAAATCTGCCGCAACATCAACAGAGTGAAGATATGCATGGAGACAGGCCAAACAGTTGTTCTCCTAAACTTGCAAAACCTTTATGAAAGTCTCTACGATGCCCTTAACCAATACTACGTGTCTCTGGGAGGGCAGAAGTATGTGGACCTAGGACTGGGGACCCACCGTGTCAAATGCAGGGTGCACAAAGACTTCCGCCTTATTGTTATAGAGGAGAGAGAGGTGGTCTACAAACAGTTCCCAATACCTCTAATCAATAGACTGGAGAAACACTATCTGGACATCCAAACTGTCCTCAGAGCTGAGCAGAAGAGCTTGGTGGAGGAGCTGGAGAGATGGGTGAAGCTTTTTGCATCTCTTAACCATCAGCAGGCAGCAATGGCTCAGACGTACAAGTACCAGCCCCCAGATGTCTTTATTGGGTACCATTCAGACACCTGTGCTTCTGTGGTTCTTCAAGTTATTGAGGGGCAGAAAGACAGCGTCAATGTCTCAGATTCTCAGAGGAGATTGTTAGATGGGGCCAAACTCATACTCCTTAAATGTGCTACACCAGACTCAGTGGTGCGTTTGGACTCCACTGGTCTGCCGAAAGTGGAGAGTGAATCCCTGTCCAGAATCTACTTTGAGGAGCAGAACAACAGCTGTTTGGCTGATTACATTCTTGCTCACACAAGACTGGAAGTCGATTGCCAGTCCTTCTACACAGAGGTAACTATGACTGACTCACCATTGTCAAATCTGTCCTGCAGGTTTTATTCATATGAGGTCTAATTATATTTCAATCCACAGGTGACAACATTCTCTCGACTTCTGACTGCATTTGACTTGGAGCCTCTTCAGCAAAAGCTGCATAGCGTTGAGCTTCTCTCTCTGCAACAGTTTGACACGGAGCACTCCTTTCTGAAGAAGATCAGGTCTGTATTTGCACCTTTTTAGTATCAGCTCACACTGTCTACAGGCTTTTAAAATAATGTTAAAGCTATTAAGATATTTCACCCCTTTTCTGTTTCTATTTGCTATTCTGTAAATTTAGAGAGGCATTTGTTTGAACTTTCTGAAACTGTCAGCTTTGATCTTATATTTAACGATTGAATACCTGTTTTTTTTTATTTTATTTCTTTAGAAACTTCCTCACAGATGGGTATGGAATCCAAACCCCTGAGTTACACAACAAGATCCTCATCATTCAGTGTGATTTTGATGAAGCCTCTCAGAATGGAAATCTCATTGCGTCTGCAAAGTAGGCCGACTTTTTCCCCTCTGTGGCATTTTCATCTTTGTTATATTACTTAATTGAACATCTCCGACCCTTTTCAGATATTCATCAATGAATGAAATCAACAAGATAACCCAGGGGAACACAGGAACCAGAGTGTTTGTTTACTTCATCACAAGGCTCCCAAGAATGGAAGGAGGGACTTCTTACATTGGCTTTCATGGAGGTAAGATTATAGTGAAACTTTTACCATAATGTCCAAAGAATAGTGATTAATAAAATATATCACTTTTTACAGGCCCGTGGACGTCAGTCCATATTGATGACCTCAGACGCTCAAAGGACATTGTTTCAGACATCAAAACATTGCAGAACATGACAATCAGTGAAATGTTTCAAATGCAGATGGTTCAGCCTGAAGGTAACAGATAAGACCACAAATAACCATAAATTCCCTTTAAATATTTTGTTGAATTAAATACATTTGTCTTTGCAGCCATGGAGGTGGGGAACATTTACACTGAGACTGAGCAAGAGGAGTTAGAGAGAAGTGTGAGTATAGTCATGAAATGTGCTTTTTTTCTGCTGTTTCTGTGATACTAATTTAGAATTTATTTGCTAGTTGATACAACAATACCTTTTATTAATAATTATTCCAAAATCGTAAAAAAACGGAAGCTGTTTCTTCTTCTTACAGGCCTCTGACAGTGTTGTGGACACCACAGCTCTGCTGCGGAGCTGCGTGCAGAGTGCAGTCAGCATGCTGAGGGACCAAGTGGAAAGTGGCTACCGCAGCACTCAGAGAGTTGAGATCCTTCTGACACTCCTGAGCGACAGTGATGAAATGAAAGGTACAAAGTTTACTGGCAGAATTTCGTTACTAGTGGGCTGTGTGAAGATTTGTGGGTGCTATTCACTGTATTTAACGTCCATCAGGGGAATTCCTGCAAATGGTGAAGACACACCTTCACACTTTATTGACGGCTCACGATGGCAACACATTTTCGGCAATCAAAAGCAACTGGGTCCTCAAGGAGGCCTCAAACATTGATGCCTTACAAGAAGGAGGCACATTCAGGTGAGTGTATCAGTCTAGCTAAGGGGTGGGCAACTCCAGGCCTCGAGAGCCACCGTCCTTCAGATTTTATATATGTTGAAGTAGATCCTAAGTCAGCCAGGTCACGGTTACTTGAAGAAGGAAACAGCACCGGACTTATCATCTTTTTTCTTTAATGTCTCTTCATTGAGACGTTTTTCACTTTAACTAAAACATATTAAAGAATAAAGACATGTCACCTTACCCTGTCCAGCCTTACTCATGCATAACTTATTTAGAGTGAGGCTAATAGAAGGATTACTGCTATGTATGAAAACATATTCTGCATTTTTTTAAATAACCCCAGCACACAATATTTAAAGAAATCCTCCCATTGTTTGAGCTGCTGTAGTTAACTTTCTTTTTTGTTTGCATTCATGACAGGCACACCCTTTGGAAGCGTGTTCAGGCTGTGGTTGTGCCCTTATTAGCGCATCTAATCTCAATCATTGATCGTGACCAAAACATGGACCTCCTGCTGGATACAAACTGCTCTGAATCTTTGAAAAGGCTGTGGTTGGATATCTTTGGCAATGAAAAACTTCTGGAGATTTCAAACATAACACTGGACCACAAGTACGTGATAACAGTATAGTTCTTTCCATTAAAGATTCCAAAATCGTCAAGCAAGAAAAATACTGAAAAAATCCCATTAAACTGTTCACAGCTCCGAGACGAGAACGATCCTTGTACAGAACTACATCGACCAAGACGGAAACAATAGATGCAACATGCCGTTCAGCTGCAGGATTAAGCATTATCTGGAGGAGCTTTGGGTTCATTCACTGCAACATGAAGGTAATGGATGATAGCTATTTTAAATGATGATGATCAATTTCTTTTTTTTGCATTTAAATTTGATTCACTTTTCTGTCAGGACAAACTCAACAAGATTTTGTTGAGTTCTTCTGGAAGACTCCACTTGGGCGCTACATTTCCAAAGCAGATCCAGAGACGCAGATGGAGTTTTACCACCGCTACCTTCAGGATTTCATCTCCATGTCAATGAATGTCGCTGGTCATGAAGATCTGCAGGTCATTTTTCAAGAACACTTCAGCCCTTCCATTTTACACTATGTGTGTACTAATTCAAATGATTTGCTCTTCTAGCTACTCTGTGGAGCCTTGAATTGTTGTGTAAATGAGTTTCGGCAGAAGCTTAACGACACAGAGACAGTGACATCTCTCCCATGGGTCCATGCTGCTTATCACAAGTTTAAAAACCGACTGCAAAACCTCTCGAGAATGATGTGCATTGAACCCCAGGTGACCAAGGACCTCCTGGGCAATCCCCATGCAAGCGAGGGTGCTGAACTGGTGAGCTTAAAATGATTAGTTCAATAAAAGGACCTCAAAATTCATGTTTGACTGTAGGATTAACTCTGTTGTTGGCGGCAGCGGTTGCCCTTATATGTCATCCTGTCTTGAACAGTGATTATATTCTCTGTTTTTCCAAGGTTCTTGATGTGTATGCTGCTTTTGCGTGTTTGGAGCACCTAGAGCCCAAAGCTCTGGATACAGATGCTAAACGACAAACATGGCTCAGGCAGGTGAAAAAAATCCAGGTGCCTATTGAGCTGATATGCTCAGAAGACAGTGTGAGACATTATGGAGAGAGGAGCAAGGTGATCGCTGGCAGAGTCCGGTAAGTTAAGCAGAACTCAAAACATTCACATTATATGTAGTTTTTATTTGTCATTATCTGTTTTCAATCTATCTGTCTTTTGTCTTTTCTTTTTTTAGATCTGGATGGAATCGCATATTTTCTCTCTCTCTGTTTGTTGAACACATGTTGCTTGGAATCGAACAGTTGGAGAAGAAGCTCACACCTTTAGTTGTGGAGACTACACGAAGGCTGGGACAGGTTGGTTTGAGCGTCTTGCTTTTGCCACTTAAAAAAAACTCTAAACCCTTTCTTCATAAAAATTTTAATCTGCTGAATCTATTTTACCCTAAACCCTTTCTTCATAAAAAATTTAATCTGCTGAATCTATTTTGCCCTCAAGGTACTGGAAGACAACTCTGATCTAAAAAGTCAGCATACCTTTGAGGCAGTAATCACTTTGCTGAAAACCTGCAAAGATGGAGCAGTGGAATGCATCTTCAGGTAAAATTAAGTGGTATACTTGTATTACATATGTAATAATCTGGTAATAATTTTAAATACATATCATTAATAGGTAATGAAAACACATTATAATGAATAGAAAGATAATTTCTTCTGCCACCAAAGCATAGATGTGTTATTGACAAGTTCATATTTTCAATTAATAAAGTTAATTGAGAATAGATTTGTTATTTTTTGTTGAGTAAAGTTTGGAATCACAACCTAACAGATGGAATTTGGTGAAGAGAAATTATGCATCTGACATATTTTCTCAAAAGTTTTCTTATATACTTTGTTGAAAAAATGAAAAGATCTTTTAGGTTTTGTCCGGTGCAGCATCTAAATCCTTTTTTATCCCTAAGGGAAACCTGAACCTTAAGTGAATGCTGAATGTTTCTGTCCAGGTTTGGCCACACACTGTGTCCCGTTTGTATGGGAGACCCCAAAGATCCACTCTGCCTGCCATGCAATCACATCTACTGTGTGGCCTGCATCAAACAGTGGTTGATCCCGGGTCAAATGTACTGTCCACTTTGCATGCAACCAGTGAATGACGACTTTCCCATGGTGCCCTCAGATGACATAAGGTTAGTAAATATTTCTGCAATAGAAACGCATTCATTTTGATTGTACTGAAGATTTATTTCACTTCAAAATATTTTTATGTACTTTATTATTCCAGTGGTTCTGGGCATAGTGACTTTTATCTGAATGCTGCCTTTGTCACAATTCAACAAACATATGTGTCTTGTTGCTAGGATTCTCGTCAACCAGCAAGCTAAGTTCAGGATGCAGTGCAATGCTTTCTTCATAGACCTGGTGTCTACCATGTGCTTCAAGGACAACTCTCCACCATGTCCTGCTGTCATTCATATTTTGTTGTCTTTCCTCATGGTGGAGGCCAATTCTGTTCCCTTACTCGGAGGTTTCACAGCCCTTTCTTCTTAAATGCTTGTTTATAGCATGCATTCATGTCTCTTGTGTCCAAATATAAGTTTGGTCATCTCTGGGTATCTTTTTTTCCAGGTAATAGACAAATACTGACAAAAGTCCTCTCTCCATTTGATGACTCTGTGGATAAAAATCCAGTGGTTCGCTCAGTGGTGCTCAAATTACTGCTGAAATACAGGTGAGGTTTTTGATCTACATTTTACAACAGTTTTATTAGCAGTTATTCTCTAATAACTCATGTGTGTTTCTCATCTGTAACATTTGTTGGGTGTTTAAAGCTTTGATGAAGTCAAAGAATATTTGCAGCAGCATCTGATGGCTGTTGAGCAGAGCAACATCTTGGACGAGAGCGACAAAACTGAACTCTACTGCTTGTACATAAACTGTCTGGAGGTATTTGTCATTTAGAAAGTTCCAGTTTGATTTTATCATGTCACACTGAAGCATCCAGTATTGAATGTTATCTAATGTCGTTTTTTCTAGGATTCCATGTTTGAGAGATTACAGTTCAGGTCCACTGCAGATCGGCAGGCATATTTGCAGGATGAAAGTGCATTTCTGACTGACTTCCTGCATTTTCATGGTCGGTCTGCTGAAAAAGCTACGGTGGAGTACCTGCAGCAGTTAGCCAGAGTCCGTATGGACCTCGATGTGACTGCAAGCTTGATTGTAGAAGAACTAAGAGCCAAAGGTGCGTGACTGCAATTTCTCACTTTCTCTGAATTTTTTTGTTTGTTTCTTCCAAAAACTAATTACTTATTCTTGTGTTAAACTTTAACCAGGATCCCAGCAACAGGGTCAAAATGGAAGCACAGCCTTCCTGCAAAGTGTGGTGAACCTGTGCGGGCGCAGTGGGAACAACTGGTATCGTGTGTACTTGATCCGTAAGATTTGCAGCCAGTATGGTGTGGAGTTTGTCCAGAAACTGCTCAGAATGGATCAGACGCACTGGATCTTCCCTGAAGAAGTTCTCCAACAGGTCTGGTCACTGCTCAGTGTCTGTTCACTATCTCATGACCAAATAGTTGCTAATTTTTGGTCAATCCACTACAAAAGTATTACGTTTGAACACTGTTCTAATTGAAGTATCTGGTTCACTGAACGCAGAGCAAAGAAGAAGCCCCCTTAGACCAGTATCTTGTGTATGGAGAAGATTACAGGAATATCAGAGAAGCGGTTGCAAAAGTTGTTATGGAAGGAAAAGTGGGTGGACTGGACGAGGCGTGTGAGGTAATATTCTACAGTATTATCATTTGTTAATAATTCAATATTACTCAGCATGAAATCTTATGCCTACTTTCGTGATTTTGTGTTTTTCACAGGGGTGCAAGTGCCTACCACAGAGGAAAACTGTCTATCTTCTGCTGGCGCTATACAGAGAAGTCACCACCCTGTACAAGCAAGCCCGATTCCATCCCAAACCTGAGGTTGGTCCATGAATTGACCAATTGTGACCTGAAGCCACGCACGTGCTTTGTGGTTCTCATGTTTAATGTGTCATTTGGGTTGAAATACTAATAGACAGCGCATAAGAATCTTTATTCAGTACATGACCAATTTTATTGCTGTTCGTTTGTATTAGTAAGAATTTCAAGGCTTTCGAGGTTTGTTGCTTCGTAGAAAATGATTCAGATGAATTGATTTATTGACTTATTGATGATTAACTTGTCAATCCTGAGTAATGGCCCCAGTAGTTCAGTTGTTAACAAAGCTGAGAAGTTAAGATGGAATCAACCAAAGAATTTTATTATTTATATTGATTGTTTTTATGTTGGTGTCATGAAGTAGTTTGGAATGCTGATTTATTCAAAACTAGACACCCACAAATTACTACTAAGCTGAAGATATTTAAATATGAATAGATTTACCAGTTGCTTGTACAGTAGATTTCGATTAAATCCTCCAAAGTCTTTAATGCCATGTTTATTAATTTAGTTATTTTCTATTTATAATGCAGTATTTACATGTTGATTTGTGCCTGCAGCAGCTGGAATCCCTGACAACTTACATCCAGACATCCAAAATCCTTGCCAGTCCAGAGGTTAAGGCATTTGCCCAGGCTCTGGTGACCAACCAGCTGGGGCCGCTGGCTTTTCATTCGAGGATTTCAGGGATTCACAGTTTGTCAACGGAAATGGCAATTCACTTGGCTGCTGTCTTGCTCTGTGTGAACCAGGGGATCCTGGCTCCCCTGAAGCAACTCGCAATGTCACCTGCCAACATGCAGGTATAAATAATAGCTGCTGTAAGTAATGCCTGCACCCACTTTTTAAATGAATTTAATGCAATTTAAATGTTTTTGGACAGGCATCATTCTTGCCCACCATGCCAGAGGACATGGTAGCTGTGGCTCAACAAGCTCTGGGTCAATTGATGTGGTTCAGTAAGTAAAAAACAAAGCCCTCTTCTCACATTTGATGTAGGTCAGTTTTTTTAGGTCATACAGCAATACTAAACTATTTTAGAGCAATTATGAAATGTATTTGTTCTCAGGTTGTCCAAATGGTCATCCCTGCACCATTGGTGAGGTATGTCGTTTCCTCAATCTTTGAAATACTTTGTATTCCTTGTATTCCTTCCAGTATTTCCAGTGACGTCTCTTGTTTCCAATTTTCTTCATGCAGTGTGGCCAGCCAATGCAGACAAGTCATTGTGTCGACTGTGGCGTTCTGATTGGAGGACACAACCACATGCCTGTGCAGGGTTTTCAGGCTTTTCGTATCCAGTGAGTGGTCAGCTAATTTGGCCAACTTATACATAAAGCAAATTTCAAAACAGTAATTTTATTCATTTTCTCTTTTTTGTTTGCTAGGGGTGATCGCACTCAGAAAGGCCACATCCTTGGTGACCCCATGCGCAGGAATAATCCAGACATGATGGACTCAAAGAGCATGTCCCCTGTTCCCTTCACCATAGTGCGCATGCTCACTCACATGGCAATGCTGCTCGGTGCCTGCGGCCACACACAGGTAGCTTGCGTTTAACGGTTGTGAAAAAAATGCTCCAAATAAAGTATATGAATCTTAATGCCTTATAATTCTGATACATAGATCAGTCAGTCACCCTCTGTTGTGCATTTGTAGGCTATTTCTGCAATCATCAAACCTCAGGTCGCTAACCCAGGAGAATTTTTAATTGCGCATCTAAAAAAAGATGTGGAACAACTGATCAGGTCTCTGGGTAAAGGGGCCGATGACACTATCAGCACAGTTCATCTTCTCATCAGCAGCTTCTGGGAACTCCAGCAGCAAAGTATGAAACATCTTACATCAATTTAATGCTACAGTTCCCTGAAAAACATTAGGAATTTGTCACAAGTATTTATAAAGACATAATGCTACTACAGTTGATTGATACAAAAAAGTGTTCTTATACTTGATCTCTTTGTAATGAGGCACACGTGTCTTTCAGGGCCTTTTCCTATTGACCATCTACTCTCCACTAAAGAGGCTCGAAATGGATGGGAGATTGAAATGAGTAATGCCATCATTACACCTGGGCTGAAGGTAGCGAATAGATTAAAGCTTGTGATGCAATTCTTAAAAATGAATTTGTTATACATGTTAAAAACGATCTGTGTGAACCATATTGTAAGTTTTCGCTTTTCTTCCACAGCACTTGGACAGGCAGCTGAAGGAGGTGAACACACTGATCCGGACTGATTCTCGGATCTCTGAAAGCCCAGTGATGAGGATTGTCTTTGGTGATCCTCGGCTCTTCCTGTCCTCACTTCCGAAAAACTCTCTCATCCATTGTTCTGCTGTATGGAGTTGCAGGGAGAAAGTGTCTCTGCTGAGCCTCACACACATCATTGAACAGAATGATGGGAAAGACACTCTCCCAGTGCTGTGGAGATTTCTACATAGGGTAAGAAAGTATCCAAACAGGAAAACATACAGAAATCAGTGTATTGGTATTAAGAGATTACCTGTCAGCATAGTATGGTTTAGCTTTACTCTCTCGTCTCTTTTAGGGGTTATTGGTTGAGTTAGATTTTTATTTATTTATTTTTTTCCTCAGGAAGCGGAAGTCCGACTGGTGAAGAACCTTCCTGACATCCTCACACTCCAGAAAGATCTGGTTAAGAAGTTCCAGAACACTCCTGAGCTGACTTATCACACCATTGCTGAATTTCTCGACAGTCAAGAAGCAGGTACTGAAGCCAGACGCTCTGGATGTTAGCCTTCCGTATAAACACGCAACTACATAAATACACAAATGTGTCCCACTGTAAATGTAAAACTAATTTTTCCTTACTCGGAAATGTCATAGCTGGCAGTATGCAGTTAAAAGACTTGCCTGTTAAAGGATGACTTGGTTTAGGTTGGGACCAGTCAACGACTGAAAATCATTAAAAAGGAATTGTGACAGTCACTGATGATAACGGCCATTTCTAACAAGCTCAGTTCACTGTGCTTCATCTCTTTCTTTGTGCAGTTGCACTTAAAGCCTGGTATGAGAAATACATCAAAATCTTCTTGACAACCTGGAACCAGCTCAGAGTGTCTCTGGCAACCAACGGTAAAAGCAGTAAATCGCAGTCTATCTGCACTGTTATATACTGTCCAAATGCATCATCTCACCTTTGTTAAAATGCCACTCAGGTGAAATAAAGATCCCGGCTGAACTCTGCCAAAAGGACCTGGACCGACACACTGACTTCAAGGTGCTGATACCGCGGCGACAAGGCGCAGGCCTGTGTTCTACAGCCCTCATCAGCTACCTAATTTCCCTGCACAATGACCTCATCTACTGTGTAGATAGGCACACTGGAGAAGAGACCAGGTGGGGGCGCTCATGACACATTTTTCTCACTAGTAAATGTTTGACTGTAAAAAGTTGGACACCATAGGCTTTTTAAGGTTATGATACAAAACAGAATAGAATCTAAAGCAGGCAGAATCTTTTTTTTTTCTATAGCACAGCTGTAACTGACTCTTCTCTTTTATACTGTCCACGTCCCAGGTACAAAGTGAGTCCTGCAGATCTGACAGACCTGCATGTGATTCGCTACGAGCTGGAGAGGGATATGATGCCCCTGGTCCTGTCCAATACCCAGTACAGCATAGAGAGGGGCCAAGAAACAGTTCATGAGTATGATTTGTCAAAGATCCAGCAGCAGATCATCTCCCGCTTCCTGTTGGGCAAACCACTCATCACTCTGAATGTAAGTAAAAGAAAAGCAGAATCACAGGTGCTAAATCATACAAGTCAAATCAAGACCTTTTGCCTCATACCTGACCTTTTATCTCAGGGCATTCCAACACTGGTGAACAGACACGACCGAAACTACGAGATCATCCTCAAGGATGTGAAAGCCAAAGTCAAACAAGTAAGCCGTGACACGCAGCAGTTTGTTCACCTTTGTAGTTATTTCTATTCTTTTTTTATGGCCTGGTTTCACGAGCCTCTGTGACATGTGTCTGTGCTTCAACAGGAGCCTCTTCAAGCTCTCACCCTGGTTTCTGTGGCTGGAGAGCTGCAATCCTACAGTGAGGTGTGTGAAGCTCTGTCCACGCTGGAAGTGGCGCTCGGCTTCCTCGCCATGACTGGGGGAGAGCCTCATATGCAGCTGTCCCGTTACCTGGAGGAGGTGCTGCAGATGGGAAACCAGATGGCTCAGCATATCCTCAAGGTCGGCATATCTGAGACACCGGTTATATTATCCTGCTCCATGTTCCTTCTCTTCCACACTAGGAGTGTAAACAGCTGATTTCATTGTCTAAAAAGGTTCTGTGCGTCTGTATAGACACCCTTTTGACTGAAAATACTGCATTTTGTGGTGTAAGTGAAGAGGTATTTATTTTGTTTGTCTTATTCTTTTAACTTATTTCAGTGGTCTGCTTGTTGTGCCCACAGGCTTTGAGCATGTGTTGTCTTAAGCATTGTGTGGCTCTGTGGCAGCTGCTGGCCTCACTCAAATCAGAAAATATGCTGCGGCTAAAGAGAGTAAGTCATGACTCTGTTCTTCCTGCATACAGATACAAGGTGGAAATTATATTTCGAAATGTGTGGTTGCACTACTGTATGGTGTTCTAGATTAAATAATGATGTGTCTGCATGTTTTTACTGTTCATTAGGATCCTTTTGTTGGAGTTTCGGAGAAGTACAAGCAGGCCCTGAATGAGGATGAGCAGAGATTGCTGACTGGCTTCTTCTCTAAGAGCAGTGCTGATATTTTCCTGCTGGAGATGCACGAGTTCCTGGTGCTGGTCCTCAAAAAGCCCAACGCTCCCGATACCTACAGGCCTGACTGGGGGTAAACATCTTGTTCACCATCTTGTTATTTTGATGTTTATGTTTGCAGAGGTCTAACTGTTAAATGATTAAAATAAATAATTTTTAAACCTATATTGGATTGCAGCCAAGCTATGGTAATTATGCTCCATGTGCTGCTTTTTTAAGTTGTACAGTGCATCACATACAGTACAGGACGCTAAACACTTGATTGATAATAATGCCTTTGCTCTAGTTTTGATTTGATGGTGATTAGGTCCAACTGAGATCAACCAAACACCTCACTAATGTTTAAATGAATATAGCATTTATGGTATTATCTGAGTTAATGGGCTTGATGTGTTTCTTAAAGCTTAAAAGACACGCTGGTGTCTTACATGGAGCGGAAAGACATGGACATTCCCCCGGATGTGGAGGAGCTCTTCCCAGAGGAGATTTGCCTGTCACATTATGTCGAGGCATGGCAGTTCATCGTCACCTTCAAGCAGGAGCGTGGTTAGTGACGGTGACCACCAGAGGGACTGGAGGGGATTTAAAGAAATTCTGTTTCCCTTCTTTCTTACATGAGCAAACCCTTCAGATCACGTTTACAACTTGAAACGATAGTCTTGACAGATCATGTTTTTGCCTAATATATATAGTATATGTGCCTTTTTTTAAGAAGAGTAACTATTACCATTGAAAATTAAAGGTGTGCAGTTTATCTGCATGTATGAAGATGTGAACTTTGGGCTTTATGTTGGTTTGTATACCTCTCTGAAAGACTCAACAAAGTCCCATCACTTGAACTTTTATTTTTCTCTCCGAGTTAAAAAAAAAAGTTTTCTCTCAGGTGTAAACTTTAGATAAAATCCGGGAAGTTGAAATTAAATTTCCAGAAAACTGCTACCAACAATCATGGATCCATAAATAGTTTATTCCATTAGATCATTTTATTCCAAGTTACCACTGTTTAGCTCTGTTATGCTTTCATGCCTTGAGCAATTGATGTACCTTTCATAAAAAAAAAAATCTGTTTCTACATTCCCACTTTCTTATTTCACTGAATGTTCTACAACTTTTTGTAATTTACTGAATGCACTTTGTTTCATCATAACTTTGAACCAGTAAGCCAGTTTTGAACTTGTGTTTGGCTTGGCGCTCTGCTTGCAATAAAGGATAAATATGTCCTCTGTGTGATTTTCTACTCTTCATGCTCACTTAAATAATTGTACACAATTGTGGAAGCAACTTCTCCTCGTGTTAGTTCTAGCTCAGTGTCGACTCCTGACTTTGGTTTTGTGTCAGTACATGTATAATAATAGTTAATAGTCTTTCTTAAACATTTTTTGTTTTTATTCTACAAAGTATCGGTCTCCTAGTGGAACATTTATTTGATTTGTTTCAAATGTGTTTCTATGGTGAATACATGATATTCAGGCTTTAGTGTTTACAACAAAAAACAAACAGATCAAATCTTGGTACCTTTTGGTAGGAACGTACTCTGATATGTGAAATTAACAATATTACACCACAGACTTCTCTGGAACACCCATTTATCAAAGAAACCTGTTTACAGAGTCAGGTAGATCTAAAACTATACTTGCTTCCTGTTACTGATGTATAGTTTTCAACAGCTTCAGTGCTATTGAGAAAGCTCATTACTCCTTTTTTGTCTGAATTACATCACTGCCAAAGTCGGCACAGGCTAGATATAATGCAGTGCTCAGGAAATGTCTGCCTGCCAAAGGCTTTGTGACTTTTTGACCCTCTGTTGGTGGGAGCTCAATGTGTTTCTGATCAGGCTGATGGAAATGATAAGGACAAGACAGTCTCAAGATTACTGCTGGATGGCTTCTTGATTCAATTTCCTCTGCCAAAGTAGTGTTTAGCAGAACAATGACAAATGGAAGACTTTGCTGTGAAAGTAAACCATATTAGGGACCACCTTCCAGGAGTCTGAAATAAATATTATCCACAAGAATTGTCGTTTGATGTCTTTAATGTGCTTTTCAAATAGTCTTTCCCAGCACTCAGTTTCATCTTACACCAAAACAACCTTATGCTAGGCCATCGTAGCAGGGTGTACAGTCTTATTTTACGTTGACAACCACAATAATAATCACATTCATTTTCACCAGAAATGGATGATGCTATCTGGCTGCGTCCTCCGTGCTCATTAGTAAAGAAGCACTCTACATAGGGTCAGTAAACGCACCCACAATTGGGTCACATGCATGATTTGCATAACTCAGTTTTGTAGAACAAGCTTCACTGAGCAAGTTCAATCAGTTCACTTCCACTTCTGTAGGCTCCAAAGCCAGCGGAACAAAGGGACAGGCAGCAAGAGACAAATTCTTCCCTCAGCTGTTTTTCTTTTTCTTTGTTTCTTGATGAGGAAGACCCGGGGACGCAATTACTGTGCATCACGATTCCCAGTTTACATTGACTGATCCAAATATTGGATCAGGTCGTTCACTTTTACTGGGAGATTATTGTGAGACACAAAAAGCAGGTTAGCATGTTGGAGGCCTTTAAAGCCATGGAGGGGTGCTTGTGGAACTGTTGGGATCTTGTTAAAATAATTATAAAAATGATAAAGCAAACTATCTAAAAAAAAAAAGCAAAAGCTTTTGTGGTGCATTTTTTTCTCCAGATATTGCAAAACTAAGTGATTGATGTATTCACTGCTTAGTTTGAGCAGTCACATTTAAAAAACAAAAAAACACTTCTTCACTAAGAGTACCTTTAGACAGTTAGTGAAATATGATCCACATATTTAGTTTAGTTCTAAAACAAAACCTGCATGTGATTATATAAGACACACAAACCATGCTTGATTTGTATGTTTCATATAATCACCTGCGATGCTGAATTTCTCCACCTGGCTGCCCTGCTGTGAACTGTCATGCAGAGTAAATGCCAGAAGAAAACATGCAAAATTGAGAAAAATCCAGTCTGACTGAGCAAAGGGAGTCAATGTTTCCCATTCATATTTTCCCTGAGTTTATCATGTGCATCTGTTAACCCCTCTGAGATGTTTTATCAACTTCAAAACAACATGAAGTTTGGCTTTGAATCTCTGCTGTGGAGGAGCTTCGAACTTAACCCTTTCCAAAACAGCCTCAGATATTCATCGCGTTTACACCTTGGGGATCCAATATCATTCACAGGCTTTGACGCCAGACAGGCGCTCACAGCCAAAAGGGAGCAAAGATTTTAATGACTGCGGTATGAAATCAGTACCCTGGAATACCCATGAGACCTCAGAAAGAACACCAAATGGCTACTGTATGTTCTATGGGGCTTTATGCTTTTCTGACGGTCTGGGGAAATGTTTTCTTTCAATTAGCCCTTCAGGGTGCTGCTGTTATTCCATTATTATCAAATTAGTGTACTTTAATTACTACGTCATATGAAATGTATGTGCCAGTAGGTCATGATGGGGTGAGAGCGCAGGGTCCACGTCCAAACGCTTGAACTGCCCGGCCTGCTCTGCGATGCAGGGAGGAGGAACAGAGAGGAAGAAAAACTCTGTGAGCACATCTGTGAATTATATTAGCTAATTGTGTGCATTTCTTCTAGCACTCAACACTTGAGTTGTCCTCCAAGCAGGAGGAAGAAATTAAGAACACTGCTGCCATGTTGTTCCATTAAATATATGAAGAGAAAATACAATTAGCAGTTAAGTGGGAACATACCACTTGGGATTATGGGAGGCACAGCATTTTGAGATTTTCTTTTTTCAGTTTCCCTGCAGACCAGAGAGCATAAAGATTTTGTTTGTCTTAAAATTGGCATTCCTGGTGCCTTCTCTTTCCTGTTTGTTCCAGCTGTTTACCAGGAAAAGTAATACGGAGAGCTCCCTTGAACTGATGCTTCTGTTGAACTCACCTTAGAGTGAGAAATCTTAGCTTTACCTGCTTTGCTACTTTAGCTTGGATTTCCATGCTAACCTCTTCTTCTTTTTATTTTTTCTACAGTCAAACAGCTCAGCTTTAACAATAACACCACATATTGAATCAAACTGTTATTGTAAGATGAGAGGGTGTTCCAGAAGCCAAGAAATATGCCCTCTATTTCCAAAATACCAAGGAGGGGTTTTAATGTCAGGTACACTTACACTTTAAAAAGCTCCTGCTGTTTTCAATAACATTTATTCTGAAAGATGCTGCATAAAGGTGCTCCAGCAGCTGCTCCAGCAAATGCTTAACTGAGCTCCTCGGCTCCTCACACTGCGAAGTGAAATGGATTATAAATGGGGTTTGGAGCCACCTACCTTTTTGGCCTTATGCAAACATGTCCAAATTAGAAAGAATGATTTAGCATACCTGTCAGGCTGCCTTTACACTCTGACTGTGTTTGTCCCTAAGAGCCCTGACTTTATTTATCTTTTATGTCCAATGATGTACTTAAAAAACAAACAAAAAAAAGGAATAAGGAGCTCGCTATGGGTGTAGTTGTTTGTTTTAATGAGTTTTTATTATAAAGTTTCCACAAATTTGACAGTGTCGAGTTTTCGTTCTTTTTTTTTTTGTATAGCATTGCATAAATCAAACAACAGAGTATCCATTTACATCAAGTCTGAGAAATGCCTGGAGCTTTTTCAACTCACAACCTTCCTTTGAAAGAGACAAAACAGTTGCTGCTTGGCACACCACTGTGAGTGTTATATAATACAATTAGATACAATTCTCCCTCTGTCTCTACTCTTTGTTGCCTTGCCTTTTTTCTCCATTTGCTTCCTCTCACACTCTTCTCTCGTTCTAGCTTTCTTCCATATCCTTTCACTCACTCCCTTTTCCCCGATGCTCTTTGTTATCTGACGGCCTTTGGCTGTGAATAGATATTGACTGTGCGAGAGGTTTTGTTTACCGCGGATACAACAGGATTAGAAGTGATTACTGCTGGTGCCAGTGTTGTAACAAGCCAGGGAAGCATTTCGTAGTGTATGGAGGTGCTGACAGTTATCCTCTACAAGATTGGAGAAGTTGGATTATGGGTGTTTTTTCTCCACCTGGTGATGAGAGACTAGAAAAAAAAAGAGCGAACATCTCAAAGCAATAAACCCTCAGGAACAGTGAAAGTAATCCACTGCCACCACATTTGTTCTTGGCTTTCGGCTTTTCGTGTTTCAAAAGTTGTGCTGTAGCCCTTGTAGTCCATGAGATGCAGTTTTACCTTAAAGGGAATGTTGCCTTCTACCTTGACCTTTCACCTCGGTATTCCCTGATGTGTACAGCAGCAAAAAGAGGGAGATGGGTCCCCTGCCTCCGTCTATGCTCTCCTATGGTCAGGGCCTGTGCTGGTGTTCAGTTTCACAGAGCTTCTCCTCCTGGCCCCAGCACAAATACACAACACCCTCTCCGATTTCACTTGATAATATTTATCCTCAATTATAATTCCTCAGATAGGGATTCTTGAGCAGAGTACAGTGGCTGCAGACAAAGCAAAGTGGCCTTGAGGCCACAACTATGCCCTGCTAAGGCAGGTCTCTTTCTGCGCCCCAGATAATTCTTGCTCTCGCTGGCAGTCGTGCAAAATAAGCAATGTAGCCATTAAGAGCTCCAATGCAGTGCAGAAGCACTTAGCTGTATATTTGTCCTTGTGATGAGTGCATGCATTACTATGGCGTTACACCACCAAACCTAGCATACCTACTGCTGTTGCATGTGAGAAGTGGACATAGTTTAAATAAATCAGTCCAGCTCCCTGTTAGCTGCAGTCTCGCCTGCACCGACCTCTGAAAACGATGTGATGCCAGAGATATGTGCGATAATGACTTTAGTAGAAACAAAACACCATAGATCATGAAACGGTCAAACACATGTCAAGAGATATGAGAAATTACAGCGTCAAAGCAGGTAGATGCTCACCACAGATTAAGCTGTCGCACTTATGAGGCTCGGTCCAAAAATGATTTATGTCTGAGTGTTACAACTTGTGCACGTACACACATAGCAAATACACTGAATATTTCTATGTGAAATAGATTCAGTCTTTCTGATTCACAATTTCTAAAATGCGAATCAATTAGCATCCTCTCTCATCCCAAATTTGGAAATCGATGATGGAGCTCCCAAAAAAAAAAGTAAAATAGTAAATAGCTGGATAAAATAAGGAAAAACACATGATCTCTTGCTTTGATCTTGAATCATATGGAGACGCTAGCATCATGATTAAAAGATTTCTAAGTGTTTTTACTCTCCACTCCAAAACAGAAGGCCAGTGAGAAAAATCACAATTCTGCACTGATGAAACTCCATACATTTTCTATTCTCTGT